CCACTAGCCTCAAGTAAGCCAGGGTACACCAAACTTATCGTTTGCTTTAAACACATATATCATATTGAGTTCGCCCTTAATCATATTGAGTTCACCCTTAAATCCATAAGAATTAAGCATATCACGTACGCCTCCAGATTTTATTGAGTGCACCGTTGCAGCCGTAAATCCACCAAGTTGACTATGACAAAAGGCCCCAGATTTACGGGCATACCCCATTCACCGTCCATGACCAGTTTCTGGGCTTCCCATTTGCTGGAAACCCTTCCCGCCTTGGGAGCCTTTGCTATGCCATTGGTCCTGCAGGCGAAGAGACGTTTTTGCCACAGCCCATGGCCCATCCTCAACATGGAGCCCTTTTGGCTCGCTTCCTGAGCGGATCTGCGGGACACACTGTGTCCCGCAGATCCGCTGAGGAAGCGAGCCAACATTCATTTCTGCAAATGGAAGGCAACTTCATATGGTTGAAGGCAAACCAATGCATTTACTTAAGCCAATGGACAAATATAGCGATGTTCATTTCAATTGGACGGCAACTTCTTTGATACATAACTGAACTTTGGGTCTACCACTAAAATGCTCCCAACCCGAAAAGTGGCGTTATGTGGCTGGACGGTCCGAGTCTCGGAACTGGCGTGGAGCTCAGGGCATTTGACTCAACCGGTGTAGGAATCCCAAGTTTGAGCCGGGACTGTCATTGAAATTGGGTCCTCTTGGGCCATTCTGTTAATGGGGCAAGGAACCCTAGAGGGTTGCCACCAGAAGAAAAAGGCCTCAGGGCTCCCGGCAAAAGTGATCTGAAGCCCCACGAATAGGAATTGAACATCCCGTCTCTCAAAATGAAGGCGGTTCCATAGGGTTCCTGCCGATTCCAAGAGGGCCATTTGGGTCTGTTGTTTTTTTTAGGAATCGGAGACCAGCGAGTAAATGGTGAGCCCAGATCGTTTCGGCGTCCTTCCGGGCTCCATTGGCACCGCGGCCTTGGTCGCTCGGCATCTCGGCGCGCCCCGTTGAGGGGTTAGGCTGGGTCTCAATGGGAAACCAAAAGCAAACACCACTCATCTTGGGATCACTAAAAAACAGAAGAAACAAACCATGGGATATATATATATATGTTTTTGGTTGGCATTTCGTTGGTCTCCAAACAAGTGCAATCTAAACATTGAGAAACCTGTCCGAGCGAAATGGGCGAGTGTTCTTTCCGGAAGTGGTCTGAAAGGGGACACCCTCCTCGTAATCAACCAGGGTTTAGTAATTTGGGGTCAACATTACTGCCCAAAATGACTCGTTTAGCGGACACCCTCCTCGTAATCAACCAGGAGTTTAAAACATTGGGGGTACTCCCAAAATGACGCGTTTCCTTTTGGCTTCACATTCAAACCGAAACGGGGTCCCCCTAGAACGTTTTGCCTGGCATTTTCAATAACCGGAAGCCGAAAATAGGGGGGAAAAGGCCTGGGTACATTTCTGGGACATATACCCTGGAATGATGATTACCCTGTAAATCCCAGCAAACAACGGTTTCAACCATGGTTTCATTTCGTGGTGCAAAATGGATTTCGAGGACCCATCCACAGTATCTCAAAATAATAATAATTAATAATAATTAATACTAATAATAATAAGTCATAATCATAATAGTAATAATAATAGTAATAATCATAATAATAAAAATAATAGTAATAATCATAATAATAAAAATAATAGTAATAATCATAATAATAAAAATAATAATACTAATAATAGTAATAGTAATAATAATAATAGTAATAATAATAGTAATTATAATAGTAATAATTGTATAAATATATATATATAAACCAAAAAACACACAAAAAAAAACGCCTGTCCTCGTCAACGTGAACACTGAGTTCCGGAGTTCTCCTGCGACGAATCCCAGGCCTCGGAGCCCTTGCCCATACCAAAGTCACCCCGGGCGAAAGGCTCTGGAGTCTCCCTAAAGATCCTTGAGAAATGGTTGGTTGCCGGAAATTCAGGGGTGACCAACCATTCTTAAGGGGTCCTATAAGGAGACTCTAGGTAAAGGGAAACACCCGAAACCATTCGGAGTGACTATCAGGAACCATCAAGTGTTTCCCATCAAAGAAATGTTGACTGTATTTAGGTACCTCCCTCAAACTACCCATACCATGTAAGAGAAATGTTCAGGGTCCAGGTACAACCTCCAGGACCCCAGCCGTCCCATGACAAGTTTCCAACCTTTTTCGCGCCCGAGCGCCCGGCCTGCGCCTGTCCGCTTCTCCTGCAATCGAAGCGAACTCCAGAGCAAGTGGCAATCCGAGCCAGAAGGGCACCGATTTTTTTTCTTCTAGAGGCTGTTGCAGAAGTATTTTATATGTTCTGGTACCTGGAGTCTCCCTAAGGACCCTTTAATTTTTAAGGGGTCATGGAGACTCCAGGTAGACTAAACGTGAAACAAAGAGTCTTAGATAAATATGTTTGTTTGGAGTACACAGCGGTTCCCGATTGATGGGCCTTCAACAACCTGGTTTTGAGACGTCCCAAGCACCCTGGATTGTCTAATGGAGGCAGAGGGTCTTCCATGGAAAGAGTCAGGAGCCTCGGGGTAGGTGCTTTGGCTGGCTGGTGCGATAGGCAGGGAATGTAAGAATGAATCCAGAAAATCCCCGTAAAGGAAACCACCTGGATGGTTTTTTCAGCGTTCCCTCATTCCCTGAGCACCAGCAAGTTGGGGTCTTTTAGGAATCGGACCCCCAAAATGGCTTCGGGTTTCCTTTGGGTGCCATTACAACCCCTAGGGTTGCGAGTCGTTATTAAAAGAATGCTTGACCTAAGGAGACCCAGTTTAGATGATGACAAGCCTGAAAGGTAAGCAAAGCTGATTACATTGACCTAACTGCATAGTTTTAACGGGGGTTGACCCCCTGGGTTTTGAGGCAGGTGGACAGGGATCTGGCTGCTTTCCTTGGCACGCCGTCTTTTACCCTGCGTGGTTGGGAAAAAGTAACCACCATTGTTTAGCTACGTGCAGGATTGTCATCTAAACTGAGTCAATTATTCTTTAAATGGAGGGAAGGAACCCTGAGGAAACGCCTTCTGAAGGTATGTTCCCATGTGAATCTTCTGAAGGCTCGTGCCTAGAACTTATGTTTACACCATGTTTATCCCTTGGGGCGCTTCCTGGCCAATGCTTGGCTTCCTTTGTCGTTCAAGGGGCAACCGGACAACAGCATAAGCCATTCGAGAAGTAGGAAAGCCCAAGGAAGTGCTTTCGTTCAATGGACCCATTGAGGAATCGATACACTAGCTCGGTTTCCCAGAATGACCGGAAACCAAAAGGTGATTTGAGGTCAATTCGCTTTGGGGAACCTTAGGCCAAATCGTGACTACCCGGCTGAGCACGCAACCTGCCCGTATCGATACATGTGGGTTGCTTTCGCGGGCGTACGACGGTCAACTATCACGCCTTTGGAGGCGAAGAGGGTCTAATGGAGGCAGAGGGTCTTCCATTGAAAGACTAAGCCAAGAGCCTCTGGGCAGGTAAATGGAAACAAAGACCAACATGGTTGGCCCTTGCGTAAATGTGTAAACTATGGAAGATTCGGCAACTGGTTCTCGGGGTTATCTTCCTGTGAAAGCTGTAATGCTTCTCTCTTTGAGGTTAGTTCAAGGCCATCACCCCCCGTAGACTTCGCTCCAATCACGCCTCCACAGCTTCTCTTTTGTGTCCTTTGCCACCTCGCAAATGGAAAGAAGCACTCACCAGCATTCAGGATCAGCGGCCCTGTCTGAGTCTAAAAATGAGGTGGCTGGAAAATAAACTTAAACTGTGGATGGACGAAACCCATAGTTCGTCGGTATTTGCAGGGAACCATCATTCCAGGGAGGATTTCGTGCATCCAATGTATTTATCCCCTTTCTGCTTGCCAGTTTCCCTCAAAAAGGATGCCAAGCGCTTCCCCCCTTCCCCTGACCCCCATCAACGGGACGATTCCTGAATCCGAAGGGGGGGGGGAGTGTGGCACCTCTTGGGGGTGAGGAATTCTCCAGCATGAGCCACAGCTAATGTCGCTATCGGTGCGTAACCCGTTTATGGTATATAACTTGGTGAGTCTATCATCCCGTAGATGATGGCTAACCTGATTGTTCGATTACCAGGGTCTTACAAGGTTAAAGCAAACGTTTGAAAGTTCGGTGTTGGACACGGCAGTAAATACTGAGCGGTGCTCACATGGATTTGATGGTGGGTTCCTGTGTCATTCCTTCAAACAAAGTCCAAACTGATGGTTTGCCACTCAAATGGGCTTCCCAATTCCCAATAACTAAGTGTAGGTCCTCCAGTAGACAGGTTAGAATAAGGGTACCTGTTTTTGTTTTCTGTAGTCTATTTTAGGGAACCCTCCCAACCAAAAAATGGAGAGAAGAGCGCTACTGGGGGACCTAGAATTGATTAAAGTCCAGAAACTCACGGGTAACCACCTTGCAAAGTCGCCGGCACCGAACCAGGGTGCGCGCCTGAAGGAAGCTTGGCCTAAGTCGGTCACTCGTGGCTTCGCACGGGCGCTGGCGCGGGGGGCGGGGAAATCTGACAGTGCACCAAAGGAGTTGCTTTGGGGATTTTGGGGGGAGGTTCCTAGGTTCCTCAGTCTGAAGTTCCCAGAGTACGAGAGCGTGAGCCAAAAGTACTCCTCGAAGCACACTGCCCGGCACTTGCGCAGATCGCCGCAGCTCCCGCAAGATGTTCTGCAACAATTCGCACCTTGCCATCGACTCTTTTTCCACCTAAGCAGGCAGCACTTGAGAACTCACTTGCCCAAAGGACCCAGAAAAACACGGTTAACCCTTTGGGATCTTTACTAAAAAAAGGACCATAAAGGGGAAACAAAAAGGTCAAAAGGTCGGCTTTGGGCAAGTGAAAGCAACTTGACTGGCAGATCCCTGCCAGGTCAGGCCAGCCAATCCTGTAGACCCTCTCTCGTCTGCACTTTAAAGTCGCTCGGTTGCTTTCTGCTCCCCTGCTAAAAGTGAATAACTTTTAGTGGTTTAATGGAATACCCATGAGTTGGCAAAATGATCAACAAAGAACACGAAGGGCTGTGCCGGCACTTCTCCTTTCCAGCTGAAGTTTTCTGCCAGGTTTGATGCTTGTTGACAGCTGGGTCCTCCAGATTTCGCAACCACATCCCAAGAGTGACAAAAGTCCGACCCGGAACTCACCCAGTGAGACTACTTTAGAAGCACCCATATGGGCTCCTTCAATAGGACTTCGGGGAGTAAGGGAATCGCCCTGTTTCCCAATAGGATGATCAATCCGCTCGGCCCCCAGTTTTGACCAAGGATAAGTTCCCATGTTGGACCTTTTGTTGTGGCTTCCCTGGTCATCCCATGCTCATGGGACCTCTTGATCAACGCCCAAAGAACTTTTTGCTTAGGAAATATGAAGGAAATCATGAAGGAAAATGTTAAAGGTTAGGATCCGCTAAGTTAAAGGTTAATACTTTTTTGCTGGTTAGGAAAATGTTAAAGTCTAAAGATCCGCTAAGAGCGGTGATCGCCCACCCCCTCAGGAAGGAGCCTCAACTCCATATGGACCTGCAGGCACCCAGAATGAAAAGGGCAGTGGCGCAACTCGAGTTGGTTTCGGGTCTCAGTTTCTAGGTCCTCCAAAGAGGTTAGAGCTTAGGGTACCCGATTTCTGTTCTGCTGTAATTTTTGGGAGGGGAACCCTCCCAGAAAAAAGGGTAAAAGGGCACTACTGGGAGACCTAGGTTTTGTTTTCCTGTTTTTGGTAGGGGGGGTGGAGGGTAGGGTTTCATTTTGCTGTTTGTCAGATTGTGTTGTTCTGCTGTTGGTTTGTCCCTTTGCAGGGAAAGACTTGAAGTAGTGACTGCTTACAAGGTATTTGGGCCCGGAAACCCCGAAAAGTTCGGGTCTCCCGCGAAAGTTGAAATTACGGAGGTTGCAAGGGTCAAAACCCTGTACCCCAGTGAACATTAAAATGGGTGGTGCACCTACCCCAAAATCGTACCATTGGTTTTGACCCACACCCAAATACCCACAAACTATGGTTTCCTATGCTTTCTTTGGTGGTGCGAATTGGATTTCGTCCATCAGTATGTGCATGTTGGCGGCTTTGTATCAAAAAAGGAGACCGTCAAAACTAGTGGTGTTCCTTTGGTTCCCCTTTCACACCAATTCACATTGAACCCGACAAGGACCGGGTCCTTGCAAGGAAAATTGTCCAAACCAGGACCTGTGAAATAGGTGGGAGGGCAGATGGCCATCAAACAAACCCTCAAAGCGGGTGTGTTTTTTTTAGGGACCCACCAAATTGGATGTGCTTTTGTTTGGCTCTTGGTTTCCCTTAAGAAACCACGCACACATTGTTAACATGGGTGCCCTTTGTGGACATGGACATCGGTGAGCAACTCGTCCTTGGACTTCGCGAGACGGCGAGTTCGAATTCGCGCACACTGAAGGGCCTTGCCCCAGTGATTCCCTTTTCCTGTACCCAGTGGACCCAGTAAACCAAGGGCTTACTAATGGATATTAAAGCCTAAAGGAAAACAACTGTTTACTACCATACTGGTAACTGGGATCTAGTGGGGTAGGCAACCAACCATTCTTCCTGTTGGTCTGTGAAGGGTGTACCTATACAGGTATAAATAAAATCACTGAGTTCAAGTAGTTGGGTGACCATCTTTCGTCCCAACCGGTTCCCGTCCTGAGGTTTGTGAGGCAACCTGTTGGGTAACCCACGTAGGATCCAAAACTGGGTACGTGGCAAATATAAGGGACACAGAAAATGATGGATTTCGATTTTAGCCCTCCCGACAAGGGCGCCCTGAGAAAAAAAACAAAGCAACAAAAAAACACCCCAAACAAAAAAACAACAACAACAACAACAACAACGCACAAGCCCACCTGTGTTCTAGGACGCTACGCGCACTGAGTGTTCTTGAGCGCAAACTGGATTGTATGTCCTTCAGCCGCTTGAACGTCACCAATTTGGGGCCTGCTGCAAGTAAGTTTCCTTTTGCTGGGGGGTGGTTCAAGGGGAACATAATTATGCATCTGTATATCTATGCACAGGTCTCTGCAACCCCCCCTCCCCGTCCCGCCCGGGGGATGTGGCACATGTTCTGGGCGTATGTGGCATGTGTTGTGGGCTTGCTGGTTCTGGTTTGCCGTTCTTTTGCTGTGCTTTGCTTGCCATGCTGCGTGCACTAAGCTCTTGCTGCGCACTCTGATTGCGCTTGGCACGCTGCACGCTGCAAGCCCAGGGGCAGCAACGCAGCGCCAGGCTGAGGGATCAAAAACAAATTAATTCAAATTCAATCAAATTGAATAGAAGTAGTAGTAGTAGCAGCAGAAAAAATAATTACTAGTAGTTGTGGTGGTGGTGGTAGTAGTAGTAGAAGTAGACGTAGAAGCACTAGTAGTAGTAGTAGTAGTAGTAGTAGTCGTAGTAGTAGTAGTCGTAGTAGTAGTAGTACTAGTAGTAGTAGTGATAGTAGTAGTGGTGGTAGTAGTAGTAGAAGTAGAAGTACTAGTAGTAGAAGAAGAAGTAGTAGTAGCAGTGGTGGTAGTAGTAGTAGTAGTAGTGGTAGTAATGGTGATAACAGTAGACTTCGTGGTGGTAGCAGTAGTGGTAGTAGTAGTGGTAGTAGTAGTAGTAGTAGAAGTAGAAGTAGATACTAGTAGTAGAAGAAGAAGTAGTGGTAGTAGTGGTGATAACAGTAGTAGTGGTAGGAGTAGTGGTAGAAGTAGAAGTAGAATTACTAGAAATAGAAGTAGCAGTAGTGGTGGCAATAGTAGTAGTAGTAGTAGTAGTAGTAGTAGTAGTAGTAGTAGTAGTAGCAGTAGTAGTAGTAGTGGTGGGGGTAGTAGGAGTAGTAGTAGCACTAGCGGTCGTGGTAGTAGTAGTGATAGTAGTAGTAGTAGTAGTAGTAGTAGTAGTAGTAGTAGTAGTAGGTGGCAGCAGTAGCTAACTTGCTAACCTCTAACCTGCCAACTGGATGACTTACTTGTTCTGCGTCCCTGCGCGAGATACTGACTTACTAACCGCTCTTTGCGCCGGGGTGCGCCGGACACTAACGTTGTAGCTGCCTTCTCCCTTACATTTGGAATACTTTGTTTTTGATCCTGAAAGACTTGCTTGTTGATGCCAAACTCATTTCTTTTGATGCGTGTGCCCAGAACCAGCAAGCCCGGGAACGGGGAACTCCAGAAAGGCAACCTTGTTGGTGTGGTTTTAAGCGGAAAGTCCCCTAAATCACAACACGCATCCCAAGTTAGATATGTATATATATATATAAATACATTTATGTACAGAGACTATAGGGAGCTCTGAAATCCCTCGCCCTCAATTGACTCTCGACAATGACAAGTCCGGCCTTTCCGGCGGTCCTGAGCCGAGTGCACCTCTCATGGCACCCCTTGGTTGGTTTGGATTCAGCATCAGACCCGAACGAGCATGAAAACCCCAAACTTCCCCCTGATGGCTTGGGAAAGAAAAGGTGATCACCTTTTACGGTCATGAATAAATATTGCTGCCCAAACTTAGTTAAAAAGAAACAAGTCGATTTGCTCAACACAAGAACACATCGGGCTTCAGGGCACCAAAGGAAGAACACTTCTCTGCACATGGGACCCAGAATCACACTGTGATCTGAGTCACTGGGAATTCACATTTTGTTGGGGGTCCGATTCTGAGACAGACCCGCTTACTTACCACGCTAGGGTACTGATTCTTGCCGCATCCATGGCCATGCTACCTGAAAGCGCAACAAGCGTAGCTCGCCCATGATGTTGCATTTGAAGCCAGTCTTGCTAGACGCAAGCGCCGTGTAAAGTGAGACAAAAACGGGATCCGAACATGCTCAATCACCTATTCACTTTTTCAAACGAGCCAATAGGAAATCTGCTTGGTCGCTGCGTAACAGCAGATACGACGCAAACACCAAAGCGTGGGTGGGTGCCAAGTTAGGCCAGCCATAAGCAAAAGAGAGTGACATACTGTCCGGCCTGCGTGTGCTGTCAAGTCAATGTGTTAAAGGTAAATTCTCACAAACCCAGTGCAAGCAAATGACTCCAAGTCATGCCATGCAAGCTCTGTTGAGAAATGCATTCATGTGGGATATTTACCACATCAACAAGGCAAAGGCATACTATGTAGGGCACTGTAGGCTACCCAAATGTTTTGCACAATGTAGCGGACTTACTGAACAAGCTTGGCCGCTGTCGAGCTGGGGCGGTCATGTGAGACACGGTCAAAACTACTTACATACGGCCGTTTCGCTACTTAGTTTGAGAGCCCCCTATTGTTTTCCAGCGTTTCCATCGTTTTCCAGGGGTATCGTTTTTTGAGAGTCCCCTATCGTTTGCCATGGTTTTTGTGCATTTTCGCAATACCAATGAAACGCCGAACACTAAACTCAACAGAAGTAATTTTGACGGTACTTCATGTGGCTCACGAGATGGCAAGCTCTTGCGGGGGAAGCGTGGAACAAAACACCTTGCAGCGCTCAAAGCTGGTTTGAGTAAAGGGTCTCCATTTGACTCTCAGCCGAGCCGCCGTGTCTGCCTGCGCGCCACAACTGACATTCTTGCGCGTGTAGCGCGACTACACCGGGCCCGCGGGCGCCTCCCTTGCGCAGCCACCGTCTCTCCTGTCTTTGGCCAGACGTTTGCTCCCGCCCAACAATTGCATGAGAGCATTGGGATTCACGCGGCCCCGCCTAATTCGCTAGCTTCACGCCGCTCACGCGGCACGCACGCTTCGCGGGCCTGACAAGCCGAGGCCAACCAGTGCCAGCAGGCCATCGCAACCATTGTGGCTGCGCTTCACACTCTGCTTGTCGCGTGTCGCACGCTCTTCAAGAACTTACGCGGCGACCAGGCGCAATACAAATGCGGGAGGCGCATGCTTTGTCAACAACCCCGCTGGGCGTACGGGGTTTTAAATTTGCTACTGAACACAGTATTTCGTACGACTTGGGGGGCATGGCCCAGATTTAAAAGGGATTCCCGGATTCACTCACGCGATGCCGCGCCTGACCCTTTGCCTTCGCTGCCGCCTTCGCCTCCGCCTTCCGCCTCAAGCACGGTTGGATATTCGCAACTGGGGTGTGTCTTTGTTTGAAGGTGGCTTCTTTGTGGTTTTACGGGAAGCCAGAAGAAACCCCACCGTTTCTGGGAAAAAAGACACCCCCGTGGGAAATATATATGCTGCCAATATCAAGTTCATTCGAAAAACTCAGCTTGCTTGCCTGTCTCAGTCAAACACAGAGTGTCTTCGTGGCAACTGACTGACGTCCACGATGTGGTACTGAGTCAAAGTCTTGCCGTCATCAACAGCAGGGGATCGTAGGGTGTTGGTGGCTAAGTCGACAGATGGGCCGCTTCGGCGCAATGTCACCAGGGGCATGGTAGCTCTTATCATGACAGGGCAAACGACCAGAGGTCCCCTTTTTGACAAGGCCCCAAGAACGCCTAACAATGTCAGACATCACTCTGCCCAAATGCAGTCGGCTGATTTGCTGAGCGAATCGTCTGAAAGTGGTGTGCGAAAAACATATACCCACTACTCCAAGTCCGCTTCTTGTTCAAGGATTCTTGGCAAAACCGGTTTCCCAATGTTAAACACACATACACTCTTTCTAACAGGCTTGACCTCGTATCCTGGAGAAACAAATAGGGGATAAAGAACAAACACACTGGCGCCAGCGTGGCAGATCTTCAATTCAAAACCAGCGAAAGGCCCAGGACAATGGTTGCTTCTTGCTTGGCCCAGCGCAAGAAGAAATATCTCAGGCCGTATCTAAAACCTGGCAAGACAACTGCAACCGTGGAGCAGCAATTCGTCAGTTCAAAGACATCGCTCCGTTTTGGGGGAAGTTTGGCATTGCAAACACTGCCCTTTGTAGTCATGCTTGACATCATGCCCTGAAACAAGCTGCTATTGAGCGAAGCGGCAATACAGATTCGAGCCGAAAATAGTTTCTGAACCTTGGCCAATAGTCACCACTCATCTCTTTCAACTCAATGGCTGCAAGTTGTCTCAGCATACAGATTCCAGACATTTCGGGAACCTTGGGACTGGGACTATATGACTGTGTCCTTTTAAGCTTGGTGAAAAGGGAACTACAAGAACACCAATCGTTTTGTTTGGCGATTTCTCGTATAGATGAGGGTATTGGGGTGGGGGGGGGTGGGGGGTAGGCGGCCTGGGGACTGGAACATACATCTGGTTGTCGTCCCGCTAGATCCGTGTTGCTGGGATGGTTGCGAAATCCATAAACCGCACCACTGTTCAGAAACCCTGGCATGAGTCGATTTCCCTCTAAATACCGTAACAAGCGTGATGGTTTTGCATGGTTTCAAAGTGGTGCGAAATGGATTTTGTCCATCCACAGTAGCGAAATTGCATGAGATACTCAAGTTGGTGGAGATGAATCCCCAAATGGTTTCAACCATAATCTTAGAGTGGTGCGAAAGGTCGTTTTGGTTCTTCTCCCCTTACAAGCCCAGCGAGCCAAACTGAGCGAAACTGAGCGAAACTGAGCCTCCGAGCTCGGCCCCCGCGTCCAGAGCCTCGTCTTCAGAAAGGAGCCGGAGCCCAAGTGGAGCATCAAGTGGGTCCCCACTCGCTTCACAAGATGGGGCAAACAAACAGCTCAACGGTTTGGTGAGTCTCCATGACCCCTTCAAAATGGGTTGGTTCTTACCTGGAGTCTCCATGACCCCTTCAAAATGGTTGGTCATTACCCCAAAATCATGGTTGGTCATGAAGGGTCACGGAGACTCCAGGTACAATGGCAACCAAACCCCACAAAGTGACCTTTAGCCCTGGAACTCATGAGATTGCCTCAAGCACTGCACGGCCACATTCACTGCAAGGCATTCGGGCCTCGAAATTTTCTGACGGGTCCCCCACGGCCAGAGATTTTCTCCGGAGAGCTTCTGGAAAATTGGACTCAGGGATAACCACTTGGGTTTGTTCAAACTTTCCGAAAAAAGGTCTTCCAACTGCCTGTCAGCTTTAAATGGAAACTAAAACCAGCGCCCGTCTTACGCAAGCTTAACACGTACCAAGGAGTTCACAGAGTACCAGCTTTCAAAAGACCTGCAGGTTGAAAACCCTCCGACACGTGTGCCATAGCATTGTGTAGGCACCCCCGAACCTTGAAACAAGACGGCCGCTGCATTTGTTGCCAAATTGCGTCTCAACGCCACGCATTCGTGTGGGATCCTGTGGCTGTGTCTATGACCAAAGCTCAGCTCTCGAAAAGGGCGGTTTGGGTTTGGTGGTTTAGGAAGGGTTCCCCCCCAAACTACAAGAACCAGGCTAGTCCAAAAGGATACCTGCAGAAAGACTCCAAGAAACGCCACAAAATACCCTGAAAAGCTTCCAGTTTCGAGGCATGGAGAATTGATTCGAGCTAAAGGCTTTTTGCACTCACATGCGTTGGAGGAATCTCGTTTTGGGTTGACACCTTTTGGGGTTCCATGTTAAACATGCGGGGGAATAAATGCCGGGGGAATAAATGCCGGGATGTTCGATTCGCTAAGTCAAGTGATGATCGCCACTTGGGCTCAGGCTTAACCCCATTTAGGGGGCCTGATACGACACGTAATAACCTAAGATACCAACAACCTACTAACTTGGCGAATCGAACACCCAAGTAGCCCTTGCTTAAGAGAGAGAGAGAGAGAGAGATGTTTGCCTATCGTCCTCCCCCCCCTTTATCCTGAATTCATAGGCAGATTCTTGCTTCTAGGGGCACCTTCCCCACTCTTTCCAGGGATCCTTCTCTTCAGGAAAACCAACAACCCAATGGAAACCATCAAAAACCCAATGGAAACCCTCAAAACCCAAGGGAAACCCTCAAAAACCAAAGGGCCCAAAAACCTTGTGGCTCCAGGCGACTCGAGCCCTCGGATTTGAGGCCTTGGCCCCTGCCTTGGCAGTTGCCTTGGGCAGCTGTACCTGGCTGATGTTCAGTCGAAACCTACCTCAACTACAAGGAAGATGATGACACGCACCGCAAAAGCCACACAACGCCCATGCAAACAGAAGGAAAAACCCATTTAGCTGGTGGAGAACCCACACTTCATGGCTGCCCTCAGATCCCCCGCTAAAAATGAAAAACGTTTAGTGGGTTAAATGGAAACTACCACTAAACACTGTAAAGCTCAAAGGGCAAGGGGATGGCTGGGAGCCACCAGTGATGACACACACTGCAAAAGCCAAGCAAACAACTCTGTGGCAAACAGAAAAACCAAAAAACATATCGGTGAGAACCACTCTTCATGGTGTCTGATGTTAAGGGAACACGTGTTTTGTTATTTCTTTTTTTTAAACAAGGCCCAAAACGCAGCAAACAGGGGAACACGTTTCATTGAAGTAAGGAACACAGGTTGCCCATTCCCAGGGATTCTTGAGTTGGGTTCTTGGAAAGGAAAAGCAACCTTGAGACAAGCAAACCAATGGGGAAAACAGCCAACATATCATACGGTGGATTTTGCGGGTACGTGATTTGGCAGGTGTGAAAGGGGCACAACTAGGAAATGGAATGTGTGCAAAGGAAATTCCACCGATGGGTTTTCAAAGAAGCCTCCAATTGGATAATATGGCATGATGCAAGGGTTGGGTATGCTTGTGCTTGTCAAGAAAGACTCGGCAATGTTCCGCACGCATGGGTAATGGGTTCGCTGGACTAATATTAAACCCCTGGCTGATTGACAGAAGGATGTCTCTTCAGTGGGATAGACAACTTTTGGAGGGAAGTTCATCAGGGCTTTATCTTCAGACCCGAGGCTCCATCTCACACACATTGTGACGACATTTGGCCAACAACTGGATAGGCGCAGCAACGAAAAAAACGGTCGGGGCTGACGACTGTGACGGCAGACAACCGAGTACAGACCTGATCCTTGTGTTATCTGGTCCTTTGCATGATCATGCCCAGTGTATTTCAATGGGACCAAAAAATCGGATTTTCTTGGTTGGTTGACTTTAAGGGAAACAAATCGGAACTCTTCCCCCCAAAAAATCGGAGAAAAAAGGGCACCGCTGGACAACTGGGCTTGCATGAGACTTGGTCAGAATCCCTGACGCCGGCAACTTGTTTTTGCATCAATCTATCCGCATGCTTCAATTTTGTTGGACCCAACGGCTCAAAGACGCACGACGGCGACTGCGTCCGGTTTCTTGCCTGGGAGAACGGGTGTTTTCTAAGGGCAGCCAGCATCAAAGACCTGCAAAGAACAAATACCTGGAGTCCTACACCCTGACACCAAGAACGGATTTATTTGCCATGGAAAATATGCGTGCTTTTTCTACATATACCCCGAAAGAAAAGCGGGTCTGTGCCATTTTGACCCCTGATTGACAAATGCCATGTTGACCCCTGATTGACAACTCCCCAAGTCATATTAGTGAGGTGGGTCCCTGTTTAATGTTAACCCCATATCAATCAACTCCGGCCAGTTTATTAATAGGGGGGTGTTCCTCTCCAAAAGTGGCCTGATTCCCCATATTTCACTAAAAGGCAAAACAAGCTAAGGAACCGGATGGCTGGTTCCAAGATTCGTGGGCTTTCTTCCAAACAGACCCTGATTAGAACCTCGAAGGACCCTATGCCCACACCTGCGCCGGCGGGGCCGGAGAGGTCTTCTCCTTCCGGTGCTTTGGGGGCTGGGGTGCTCGATTCGCCAAGGTAGTGAGTGGTTAGTGACCTGGGTGATAGCCTACTTACAACCAGTTCTTAGCCAACTTGTAACCACTTACAACCAGGTTATAGCCAAAAAGGTAGTAGGAGGTTGGTGACCTGGGCGAGTGACCTGGGTGATAGCCTACTTACAACCAGGTTATAGCTAACTTGTAACCTGGGTTATAGCTCATTCACCAGGAGGTTATACCCCGTGGTGACAATCACCACTTAACTGGGCGAGTCGAGCACCCAAGTAGCCCGAGAAGTCCGAACGATGTTGACCAAAACGGCAAGCAACAACCCCCAAAAGGTAGAGTCCAGGAAGTGAAGTCAGTCAAGCCCCGGTGGGCCCTTGACCATTTGAACCGAGCTTGTTGGCACCTGACTTGCAAGCCCTGTGAACTTCAAACCCTGCCTTGCCCCAAACAATGCTTGGGCGCATCGCTTGGCCTGGGCTTATGGAAAATCAGACTTTTCTAGGGGTTCAGTCCGATTCCATTCTTTCAACCAGCCTTCTTTCCAAAAACCGGGCGTTCTCCCCAGCTTTGCGGAGGTTTTCTAGAAAGAAGGATCCCTGGGAAAAAATGGGGAAAACAAATCCTTTCAGCCTGGATCTGCCAAGTCGTGGAGATTTAACGTATAATTCGGAGACTCCCACTAACGGGGGGAACAAAAAAATAAAAACGAAATAACCCGGAGACGGAGGATTCAGAAGATCCTTTCTCATATTTAGTTACCCAAATGTAAACGCCTTTTGGGATCGGAGACCTGAGTTCAAACCTGTTGCGCCGCCGTTTTTGTTGGTTCCTCCCAATTGCGGCGGCGTGCCAGGAAACAAAACAATGCTAATTGCTGATGCTCCCTGAAAGTTTTCGACTCGCCAAGTTATTAAGTTGTTGGAAAACCTAGGTTACTAAGTTATAACCCGCTTAAAGGTCCCCTAAGTGGGGTTTGCCTTGTTATAAGGGGGTTATACCCCAAGTGGCTAACCACTTACAAACTTGGCCGAACATCCATACAGCGTCCTCAAAAGACTTCAGGGACACTTTTGAGTTGAAGAACTGAGGGAAATGGCGGGTGGGCAGTTTCCCCCGAAGGCAGTTTCCTCCGAAACGGGCAGCTTCCGAAACAGTTCAAACACATGGCTATGAACTTCAATAGGCAATCCCCTCAGAAATGGTGGGTGGACACAAATCCCCGCCTAAACGACATTCAGCAAAGGGTCCCTAATTAGCTTGCTGGTGCTCAGCAGGGAATGAGGGAATGACCCCCATGAACCAGAAACTCTGTTGATTTCCTACTGAGAAGCAGCAAGCTAAACACATTTGCTTGAGCCCCCTGTCCAAAAATCTACCCAGTAGGGGGGGGGGATAGCACGAGAGGTGTTTCAGCAAATGGCCCACCCCGGGCATCCACAGCTCCTCTTTGCGCCGCTGGCTCTCCCTGAGTTCATCCGCGGTCTTCTTCAGCGCTTGTCGCCTCGGCCACTCGTCGACTCGCGCACGGGAGAGGCTCCAAGGATGGCCCGCAGGTTCAAAGCTACAAAGCAGAAAGAGGGCCGAAGGGAGGGGAAACCGCTTGAGAAGACAAATCCATGTATCTCGTTGAGGGGGGCAAACCACTTAATCTGGCGTTCGCCGAATCATCAAAGAAACAGGAATGGCCAATTGTCTGTTCCTGAGGTGTGGGTATGGGTCAAAATTAAACCACCAGGGGACCGCAGGTTTTGGTCCATGGTTCCACTTACTGGGGTTCCATTTGGGGAACCTATTTTTGACCCACAGCCATATGGGTACGCGACTCCAGAATGGGTGGCCGTTCCTTTGCGCTTCCTAAACCGAGCTGGACAGAGTACCTTTCGTTTCCAAACGAGCCATACCCATGTACCTGGAGTCTCCTTCTGACCCTTGAAAAATGGTTGGTCATGACCCCATTATTTTGGGTAATGACCAACCATTTTTTAAAATTCATGGAGACTCTAGATACACATTATCGTCGATTCTTTGACTCTGCTCAAAACACACACCGCGCTGTACACACTCCCCTTGGTGATTTGGATTTGTGGCTTGGATGTTAGGTGTTGGTTCCAACTACTCTCTACAAGAATCTGGGGTGCAAACTGGTTAAACTGGGACGTTGGTGGAAAACCCTGCCTGACCCGCTAAAGGGTGTCCTTTGCTAGGGTCAATTGGAGCATGATTGGACTTCCTGAAACTGACCCCAGACCGACGAAGTCCAGGGTGACCTAAAAAGGACACCAAACTGACCAAACTAGGCTGGAAAAATCGGGCCCCAGCAAACAAATATCTTTTTTGCCTGGTTAGTGGCAAACAAAGGGGACCCCACAAAAGCAAAAAAGGAAAAGGGGGAGCTAATTCTGGGGAAGCAAGCAGGGCTCCCTATATGGGTGCGAGTCAAATTCAACCACCAGGGAACCACAGGAATTGTTCTTTGGTTTCGGGGCCAATTTGGGCCGATCTTTGACCCACAGCCATATTTCCCCTTTAAACATCGCCCCACCAAAGGTAAAACTCTTGCAAAGGTGCAAACATTTTGGTGATGCTCAAAGCCATCAACGAGGGAAACCTGGAGTCCCCATAACCCTTTAAAAATGGGGTCATTACCTAAAAGTAAGGGGTTATGACCCCCTTTTCTAGGGGTCAGAAGGAGACTCTAGGAATATAGGGAACCCAAGGCCAAATCGACCGATTCAACCGAAGCGCCGTGCCGTTCCGTTCCGTTTGGCTTCTGGGCCCCCTGCAGCCGGCTGTGCTCAAGAAAGTCCTCCAAGTCCTCCACCACCTGGAGGCGCTGGCTCGACGTTCGGCTCGGGTGGCTCGTCCTTTTTGGAAAATCGGACCGGGAGGCCCCGAAAACGAGTGGGTGTCCTCATGATGTCCCGTCAAAAACAACAACGGCCGAACAAGTGGCAACCTCGGCAAAAAAGCGCAAAAAGAGCTCAAAATTGGCTGCCCAGAAGGGTGAGTCCCTTAAATGGGCTTTATGCAGAGTTAACCCTATTTGAGGGTGTGGAGACTCCAAGTAGAGCAATCTCCTTTTCGCCTTCGATCCCGTACCATCTGGGAGTCTTTTGTTAATTGGGTACCCCACGTAAAACGGAGGTGTTCCGTGCGGTTTCCAGCGCCAAAACCCGGGGGCGGCCAACTCCAAAGCCGAAAAAAGCCCTGCCACCCGTGGGCTTCGGGTCTCACGAGTCTCACGCCTCCGCCTCCAGCTCGTCATCCACGATGAAGGTCTCCTAGGACGGAAGCGCCCCTCCAACCAAAACAAAAACGCAAAACTGGCACTAGGTCCTCCAGTAGACCATGCCCTGCACAAGGTCCGTTTTGGGTGTTGGCTCAAAAGTTTTTCAGTGATTACCCTTCGGGCCATGACTACAAATGGTTGACAAGAGGAGGGAACTTAACTAGGTCCTCCAGTAGAGAGGTTAGAATCAGGGTACCCACTTTTTTCAGGACGTCTATTTTAGTAGGGGGAGGAAGCCCCCCAAAAAAGGGTGAGAAAGGGCACCTAGCTGGACCCTAGGCCACCAAAAAGAGCGCCTGGGCTTAAAAACCTCCAAACAAACATGTTGGAAAAAGGCTTGGTCGCCCCGCAAAATGCTGTTTTATGACCCCTCTGAAAAAAAAAAACGGAGTTTTTGCATTACCCTTGAACAATGTAATTAAATGGTCATTGCCCAAAATTAAGGGGTCATGACCCCTGTTTAAGGGGTCATGGACCATGGACACTCTAGGTCATTTTTTGTGGGTCCAATGGTGCAACGATCCAACCAATTGCCATAGAGAAAGGGTCTCAGTCTTGTCGTCCGACTTACTTCGGGCACTGACTCAGGACGAATCATGCACTCCAGCCACTTTGTGCCTGGGTTCAAACAGGGGGAAACATGGAACCCAAAGGTCCTCTTCTCAGTTGTTCAGTGACCCTGGAAAAAAAAGGGAACCCTTTTTTGGGAAGACCATTTTAGTGGGGCAGCCACCAAAAACAGGGGAAAAAGGGAGCCACTGAACAACTGAGTCTTCCTAGCATGTGTCGCTGACTTGCCTCTTCTGATCTGCAGGTATCTTCCAACACAAAGATTGAAGAAGGATGAGCAAGGCACACGGTAGCTCACTGTGAACCATTAACATCATGACTTAGCCACACCAAAAGGGACTTGGTCGGCTGTACAGTCTGTAACAGCCCGCAATGGATTTCGTCCATCCACAGTAGAGGTGCGTCATCAAGCGCACGGCCTCCAAAAGGCTCGTAGATCAAGCGTTGCGCATGGCCCGCAGCTGCATGACACACCGGCGAAAACCACCGTTTCACCAAAGAATACGGGACGATTGGGGTTCTCCCGTTGGTTGTGGGGGGAAAAATCTGGCGGAGCCCATGTTCTTTTCAAACAAAATCATCAGCAAGTAGAAGAACAGTTTGTCAGTCCTCGCATCATTTTGTCCGCTGCTCGTCTACGAAGCGTGCCTTCTTCTGGCTGTTTCAAAGGGAAACCACAAAAATCAAAACAACCACAACCAATTCATGAGATTTTCCGGAAAAAGATACACCCACATGTGCCAACACAAGTGGTACGCGTCACGTGCATCTCCTCGTCGTCTTCCCGCGCTTTCTTCTTCTTGCGCTTCTTGGCAGTGGAGCCGTCTGCCTCGGCCGCACCCAAAGAACAAGGGGCGCTGAATCTGACATGTCGCTTGTTGAAGATGCCATTCAAAACAACACATCTACCTAGAGTCTCCGTGACCCCCAAAAAAGGGTCATAACCCCTTAAGTTTTGGGTAATGACCAACCATGTTTAAAGGGTCATGGAGACTCTAGGTACCGATTTTGGTCTTGGAACCTTCCCACCATCCACTTCCTTGCAATAAGCTGGCGAACAAGCGTGACGGTCAGCAACAAAGGAGACCCTTCAGCAGAAGGAAGCAAAAACGGCACGAAGGTTTGAGGGGAAAACCATGCAAAAGGCGCCTCGGAAAGTTCGAACCTTTTTCCTCTTCCAAAGAACCTAGCTCGAGCCTCGAGCTAGAAAGTCACCTGCCGCTTGGATGACCACAGCAACGTGCTTCCAATTGCAGAAGCCCCCTGAAACAAAAAAACTCCAGTCCTCCAGTAGAGTGATAGATAGATTTCCTTTGCAGCCAACATGGTAAAATTAAACACGTACAAGCGAATGGCAGAGTGCGAGTGGGCGAGTAAATAACCAGCCCAGTTCGTGGCTAGCACCCCTCGTGCGCACCTTTTTACCGGCCGGAAGGGTGGGCACACGTTCAATCTGGGCAAACTACTTGGATGTTCGATTCGCCAAGTTAACACGTGGTTAGCACCTTGTGTTCTAACCCCCTTTTACAAGGTTTACGTAGGCTGCCGGCAACTTACTAACTTGGCCAAACACCGAGAAGATCCACAAGTACTATGATCCACAAAAGCGAAACAAGGAGTAGGAACATTCACAAGTGACTCTAAAAATGCGGCTACGCCAATGGAGACGGAACAATATGTGAGACACCTCCGAACCCGTGCATTCTGCTCAGGAATTGGCTCCCATGACTACTCTATCACTGTAATGGGGAGTCCATCGAGATGGGTGTGAATTTTGATTCGGGACCCTTTGGTGGACATCAGACTTCGGCGGGGACGAATTTGTCCGCCATCCACGTTTCATTCAAGTTGGCTCCAACTCTGAATAACAAATATGGACAAGTTGGGAAGGGGCAACCCTGTTTCTTGTCAAAACTTGGGCGCCCAAAACCACCCCCCGACCCGTAACGCCCCAACCCAACCCAACCCCCCCCCCACAGAAACTGCCCGACGCTGCACTGCACCGAGGCTTCCACGCTGGGAGCATGCGCTTGCGCCGGCGCCTCTTGAAAGCCGCGGCGCGCCAGGCCCTAAACCAACCTACCGCCTCGCCTTCCGCTCGAGTGGATGGGTCCAACAAAAAGTAATTCTAACTTTTCATTTACCACTCACATGGTCTTCCCAAAGTCCAAGAACTCAGGGAGTGAGGCATCCAATACCGAGGGATGTCTACCCCTCACTCACAAAGGAGGTGTACACACTGGTTCTCCTTTTTACAGCCTTCTGGTTTGTGCACGGTCATGTCGTTTTCCGGAGCATGCATTCTATTTTGAAGCCAGGGATCATGCGGACTGCCGATATCTTGAGCTAACTAGTGAACAGTTGTCGCTGAATTTGTGTTCAAACCTTTGCCAAAAACGCAGAAAATTATCCATTCAAGGATGGCAGTGCGCTGCGTGGTCAGGAACATGCTTACTGCTATATTTAGTCATGCTTACAGATAAGCCTGCCATTTGCAGAGCACATGTGACGGGTTTTCATGTAACATCACCTGATAAGAAAGCTACAACAACATGCGCAGGACCCCATGGCAAGCTGAACTTCGGGTCCACCATTACTCTTTTGGAGATCTCCATTGTTCCCGCCGAGGGCCGTACCTTTTATTCATAGCCTTTTTTTTTCTTGGGTCTAGGCGGGTCTAGAATATGGTCGAGGAAGGCTAGGGTGCTGCAGGCCAAGATTCCCTAGCTCTCCTTCTCATGGTCGGGGGACATGACTTTTAATAGTCTTTTGTTTTTTGTTAATAGTCGAGGCCGTGAACAGTATACCCTTTTACTCCTGGTGTGGTAGCAAAAAACTTTGCTTTTTGCAGACCCCCAGTAGAAATGAACAGAACCAGAAAACTAAAAAACTAAAAAACATGCCGAGAACAGTGAAGTATAATTAGTCGAGGAAGCACTGGGCATAGTCTCTTTTGGCCTGGTCGGGGAAATGCCCTTCGCAATGCACCCTTAATCTCAGGGCCTACCCTTTATGTGCCTGGTTTGTAATCCAGTACGTTGTGCTGGCATGATGGCATCAACTAAGGGCCTGATTTCAGCGCTCATTCAACTTGTTCTAGATGCCCATTGCTCGTAGGATTCCGCCCTCGCCTACTTGGGTGTTCGGCCAAGTTAGTAAGTTCTTGGCAACCGTTCGGTTGGAACCCACTTGTAAGTCCCGCGTTCAGTGGGGGGAAGCCTGATATTCCCGAACTAGAACTCAAGTAGCTAGCCACTATCGAAATTGGCCCAACGTCCAAGTAGCAGCATTTGCAAAAAAGCAGCGGCAAGGTTTGATGTTTCTCAAAGGAACGGCTCCATTTCCAAAAATGGGTGGTTCCCGTTGTTCCCTTTTGCACGCCCTAAGTAACATGTGTTGGAAGAATCTCTTTTTGGGTTGCCCCTGTTTGGGGTTCCAGGTGAAATGTACAGCCTTATAACAAGGTTGACCCACTTCGGGGGACTCTTAAGCGGGTTACCAGCGATTCCAGCAGCTCGGATTCTCGGATTCCATAGCAGGCACGGATCGGGTGCGCTGCGGCGTCTGCTCGATGCAGGAAAACAGCGCGCGGGAAGCAATGATGGCGTTGCTCGCGGAGAATCTGAGAGGCTGGTGGATCCCACGGAGCCAGGGAGGTCTGGCCCGGCGCCCGGCTGCAGGCTTTGGTGCCGCTTCTGGGGTAAGAGGGGCGGTGGGAGTTCTCCCTGTTGGATGGGAACGCCACCCCCTATTGAACTGGGGTTGAACATTACCAACTAAAGCGGGTCCAGCGGCTTGAGTGAGGGGAGTTTGGAAAAACTGCGGGCCCCGAGTTCGCCTCTCTGCCCTTCCTTCTCTCATCGTGCGCGTGGGACCTGGCAGTTGGGCGCGTATGCTCCCAAGGTGCAAAAGAGTCACAATCAACACCCGGTATGAAAATGGTCTACCCAGAGCCATGTAAAGAATTGAGAAGGCGGATGTTCCCAGCCATTTGTGGTTGGGATTGTCCCTTACAAACCTTCATCTACCCGGGTGTTGTTTGTGACTCAAAAGGGGACCAAACAGAAACCATACTGGCTTCCAATGAAGGGGAGTTCCAGGTCCATTCCCTCCTTCCCTGCGTGAAGAGCACCAGCAAGTGATTGAACAACGCTCAATGTTCACAAGGTACCAACAGTCCTGAAAAATACACCAAGCACACCTGAAAACGAAGTCACAACAATCCAGGAGTCATACATGTTTTACACACATCCACACACCTTGCGGGAAAAACCTACAAAAAGACCCACACCCACACCCCAAGCACACCACCTGCAAAAACACAAACAGTTACCAATCTTGGAAATGTATTCCAGCCATGGTATTCCAGCCATGAGGGGGGGAAGCAGGAGCATTGCCCACCCCGTAAAGTCTACTTGGAACTACTTCGGGCACGAAACAACCGACAGGGGTTGTGTCCAGAGGCTACTCACGTTTTCGGCCAAGATAGTAAGTTGTTGGTGGCTGGTTGTAACCCGTTTAATTGTAAGTCCTCCTCAGTGGGCATGGGCACCATCTCTAAACCAAACAAGCGTCCAATTGTCCGACTCCCAGAGAACGAATTCATTGTGAGTCTGTCTTTTTTGACGGTACCCTTGTTTTCACAAAGTTTGGGGATCCCTCACAAAATGTCCTCGGCCAAACGCTTTCAGCCGATATCCATGGGATTTGCCATCCATTTGTTTTGTTTGTGCTACTTGGATGTTCGGCCAACACAGTAAGTGGATAGCCGCTAGCCATTTGGGATTGTTCACCCCCTTAGGGTTGACCCCACATTCACGTAGCAGCCATCAGCGCCAGCTCCCCAACCTCAGCCCCACATCATCTCCCAAAATACCAAGCAGGAAACACCAATGCAACTCCAGCATGCTGAGTTGATGGAGGTGCAATCCGCACACATTACAAGGGTGCTATTGTTGTAGTTTCCAAGCTGGCCTTGGACCAATTGCTTCACACAGCATGGTGGAGGCCGCCCCAAAGGGACCATTTTGCATAGACCCCCTACCCTACTAGGAGGTTCGAATGGATTGGTGACTGCTGAATAGAGGATCTGTCACAAGTTACGTTATTCCATCTCAGTTCCCTTTGTCCTCCAAGCAAAAATATGGATCCTGCACAACTTTCCCTTGAACATTGTCTTCCAGGTCCAGGCTCGTCCCCGCAGGTTCCATGAGTGTTCTTGGGAGGATAGGAACTGAAATCGCGCCCTTTCGCACCCTCTCCCGCAATTCCTCTCGGCCCCAAGCCCGCCTCTCCCACGCCCGCTCAACCTGAAATCTGCAGTCGCAGTGATTCTATTTGGGTGGCTCAAAATTAAGGTATGCGTCGGGACCAAGATCGGAGCAGGTGGGGGGGGTGTTACTTGAATTGTACACGATGGACCCTTACAGCGATGTAGTGGCTTAACCCGCATTCTCACAGAGAATAGCTGCGCAGCCATGAAAGAGACATCAGAATCAGTCTCCGCGCCTTGTCATTCTGACTTCTTAGGAATGTATCAGTATCCTTTGAGCCCTGTTTGCGCTACAGGGGGGTCCGGGGGGGAGGGGGGAGATGGTACCATTCTTGCTCATTTAAAACACATCTTGTGAGTTCTGTGCAATCATGGTGACTCTACTGAACGGCGTTGTTCGCTGATTGATTAAAAAGCTTGTCTTCTTGCTGCTTTTCACATGTTGGGACTAAGATCGGTGGATGTGGTCCATTTTCATTCCTTCCAAAGACAAAATCACAATTGCTTGACCCAAATCATCTTGGTCCCGGCACATGGCAAAATTAACTGAGCTGGGGTTACGCAGGTGTTGATCATTTGCTTCTATCCAAGGGGCCGAAAAATGGGTACCACTTTTTTGAGCCACAGCTGTAGCGGGATCGCCTGGGTCAGAGGCATACTCCAAACCTGGCTTGGGCTTAGACCCATTTTGGAATTCTACGTTCCTTTTAGAATAATATCCTGGGAAATGACCCCATTCTGAAAGGGTCAGCAGGAGACTCCAGGTAGGATGATAGAAGCCCAATGACCATCGAATCATTCGTGGCTCGGACCAGCACAGTCAGCCCTCTTTGAATCAAGCTGGGTGTTAAATCGGGGGTCTGGAAAAGTGGCTTCCTTATGGAAAAATGCGACACTGGCTATGTAGCACCCAGCAAGCACCCAGAAGCCTTCAAAGGCAAACAGCTGACCAATTGCACAATGAAAGAAGCTGGAAGGGGCCTCTTCTATGTGTGTTGCGGGAAGGGTCCACCCAATAGGTCATTGGTCAACCTTTGAACGTCCCACTAGCTGGGAATAAAAGGCGACCACCTTGGGGTGCTTCGCTTAAACCCAAGTACACCATGGAACACACCCACATTGCATATTGGATGGCAGAAGCAACCCCACATCAGATTTTGTATTGAACACAACGACCATGGAACGTATCTCACAAAATACATTAGATGGTGAAGCTCAGCCAGAGGTGCTCAGGTTCATGCTGGAACCGTCCCCAATACCTCCGCCCGGCCATCAGTTGAACAAAAGACAAACAACAAACATCATGCGGCCTGGCTTTGGGGGAGGTAGGGGCACAGGCACAAGCTGGTTGTTATGGTCGCCGTGTCACGCCATATTCAAGCCACTCACCTGCAACCTTCGTGGCCGGTATTTTCGATATGTGCAACAGCTGTGGCCCAAATTGTTCTAGTACCACCAGTGCACATCCAGCCACCCAAAGGTCATTGTGGTGCTTCCACTCGAGCCCAAATAAGGCCTTAAAAAGCGCTTGGAGGGTATTCCTTCTTGACAGGTTTCAAAGGGAAACCACAAGGGAAATCACAATTTTGGGGAGTCCCTACAAAGACACTGGATTCATTTACCTATAGATACCCAAGGAAACCACTTAATCACCAAAGAAGTAAAAGGCGAACAACTGGCTTCCTACAATACTGGCGAAACGCCTGGGATCCACTGGATGTTGGTATTTCCAACAAAAAAATGGGTTCTCAAGCAACGGGGACCGAGTCCTTCCTTTCAGTTTCCCCTTTAAATCCCGGACCCTATTTTGAGACAGACTTATGTAATCGCGACCTGGGATCTAAGTAGAACCGGTCCACGAAGCAAACCATGACTGTTTGTATTTACAGGGAAATCAGGTGCGAACGGATTTCGTTCTACGGGGTTGAAGAAACTAATTGATGCAGGCCTTAATGTAGACCCCGTGAAATCCAGAAGCACCACCCACTAGTTTAGCGCTAATCTTAAAATCGCGTTTGCGCGCTTCTTGGGGACGGGATGCACAAACACATCTGAAATTCTACAACGGTACCAAAGCCAGTACGGCATCAAGGTAAAGGACCTAGCCTCAGCGGCGAAAGCCCGGTGCTGCATCAGCAACTCCTCCCGAGGTCAATGTGGATGAACGAAACCCGTTCGCACGACGCAAAGAAACCATGGTTGAAATCATCACGTTTGTTGGAATTTACAGGGGAAACATCCCGAATCCAGGGTATCTTACATGGTGCAACATGGATTCTGTCCGTCCCCAGAATGAGGCCAGGCCAGGATTGTACATCCTCCAAATATTCGACCTGGCTGTGAGGCCAACGGCTAAACAAGCAGAAGTACCTGTGGATGGACAAATTCATGTGAACAGCCTGGTTGTACGTACGGTAGTTCCTGTGTGGGGACTTACTACCGTTACTAGTCTGCACGTTTACTACGCCGATAATTCTGAAAGCTTCACCTGTTTTCCGTAGTCTAAAAAGTAGGGGAACCCTCTCCCAAAAAAGGGGAGAGAACGGGCCCTACTGGGGGACCTAGTTAAGCAAGCAAACCACATCATGGCGAGCTCGGATCCTTCAAAGATACATCGCAAAACCAGCGGCTTTGCAAGGTGACCCTCCAAATCAGCGGTAAAGGTGATGCTGTGGATGAACAAAATCCATTTCGCACCACGAAAGAATCCTTGGGATGACGATTCCCCTGTAGATGCCTATCAACAATGGTTTCTCACGGATAAAGTGGTGCAGGATTTCGTCCAGCCAAAAAAAAGTTTAACTGACCCAAACGTTTTCCCCAAATTCCGACCTGCTCACTTCTGATCGAGTGGCCAAAAAACAGTCCAAGCTGTTCTTCGTGTCCTAAATGGCAACCACGCCCGGAAAAGTGACAAAAGTCTTCTCACAAAAACTGAGCAGACCCCAAAAACAAAGAAACGGCAAACACATGAACCCACCAAAGTGCAGCGTTGATCCCCGGAAACAGGAAAGCACCAAACCGAACAGACGCCAAAAAAAAAAACATGAACCTGTCCCCCCAAAAAAAAAACAACAACAACAAAAACAAAAAACTTCCAGACCCCGAAAGCAACACCAAAGACCACAAAGGAGTAGCCTTTCCCTTCACTTCTTTGGGTTACGTCCTCCTGCTGGCCCAGCGCCCTGAACTGCGACCTGCGTTTCGCACACGCGAGCGGTCCACCGAACCGACCAAAATGGGCGTCGCTTCCCCGGTTTTGTTACAAGTGGCTGTGGCAACCAAAAAACCGGAATTCCAAAATGGGTTGCCCTGGTAAGTGGAAACATGGCCCAAAACCTGCGGTTTGCCCCTCCTGTTTAATTTTGAGCCACACACAAGTGAGCGCTCAAGTGGAGTTTCTTAGAGGGCCCCGCAAAACGGCAGTTGTCCCCCCCCCCCCGGTTTTGTTGGAAGGCCTCCGTCTTTTTTTAGAGGACCCCCGGAGTTTGTTTAGGGGGCTCCCCAAAATCGCAGTTGTCCCAAAAATTGGGTGTTTTTTCGTGTGTGAGGCTTGATCTCTTGCAGGAGCGCGCTACCAGGGTTCCCTGTTCTGCTTTGTTTGGGGGGACCCCCCAAAATGGTGGTGGTCCCAAGAATTGGGCACCCAAAATCTTTAGAGGGCCCCCGAAAGTGGTGGTCCTTTTAGAACTTCCCTGCAAAGCCCTTTCAAAAGGGTAGCCTCAAAAAGGCACCGCCCAAATGGGAGTCTTTTGAAAGCTGGAGACCTTTTTTTGCTGGTAGCTGGGATGCGGGAGTGTTGACCTGGTCAAATTTCTACTCACAAGCAGGAACTAAAGCGGACCGAGTTTTCAAGACCTTCACCATGGGGCCACATCGCCCGCGAATCCACAACGGCACATTTATCCCCAGCAGGGCGGCCTCGGTCTGACAGCCCTCTTCCTGAGTTGATTAGCCCAAAAACAAGCGCATACGGGTGTCTCCTTTTTTGCGGACGCCCGTTTTGAAGCACCCCAAAGTTTGTGGGTGTGTGCGTCCTTTCCACCGTTTGCTCGAGTTTCCGGCAACACTATAAAAAGTCAACAGAAGAAACAAACACAGAAAATATACATGTATATCCTGACACGCACCTGCAAGTCGGTGTGAACGAGGGACTAGGACGCGGTTGAATAGCTCATGGGAGCCGAAAGGGCAGCCACAAGAAAGGACATGCCCGGATGCCTGGGCTCTCAGACGCCAGGCTAAAAGTGACGAGTTAAAATCTAGTGGGTTTTCATACGGAAACCCTACTAAACCAACTAAGAAAATGGAAAAAAAGCTCAGGAACCGGGGCTTAATACGGAAACCCAACTACTAAACCAACTAAAAAGATCCAACAAAAAGGCAAAGGAACCGGAGGGCTGGGAAAAGCCAAGAAACCTTTTGTAGAGCTTTTCCCCCGATCCCATCCCTGGAGACCCGAGACCAAAATCCGGACGGGCCTTTGGAAGACCCATATGGCGCTCACAGCCTCGGCTTCAAGCACCTCGACCCTCAAACCACAGGGTTCCGTTTTTTGACTACCCCAAGGTCGACATAAACCCAGGGGGTTCCCTTGTGGGGAAATCAACCACCCCTGGCTCAGTTGTTCAGTGACCCTGGAAAAAAAAGAGGATTGGAAATGCTTTTTTGGGCTTGGACCGAATTTTTAGTGGGGCAGCCACCCAAAAAAAAGGGGAAACAGAATTGGAGCCACTGAACAACTGAGTACCCATAAAACGGGGAATGCACCGACCATTGGGCTGCTATGAGCCATGTTTCACTTGGAATTGCGTGAGGCACTGAGTTGCTAGGGGTGGCTATAGCCCATCGTTAAACATCGGATTTTGTGTGTCTAGGTACTGCGTTGCTCCAAGCCACCTCCCCACCCCCCCGAGCAAAGGGTCCTTAGACCCCAGCTTTGATGGAAAAACACCGCTTGCTTTTCAGAGGTCGTAAACCTGCCATGACCAACCCAGTGGATCCGTTTACCTGATGTTCTAGGTAACCCAGAGGCTCCCGATTGATTTAGGGCCTTCAAACAACCTGGTTTTGAGACCCGGTCCCAACCGCCGATTCCCGGGGTGTCGAATGCTTCGGGGTCGGGTCTTCCATTGAAAGCCGAAGCCGGGAACCAAAAAACACACACCCGTTAAAAAACCAAAAAGAAATAAAAACAAAAAAACACACTCTAGGTAACCAAAAAAACACCCTTTAAAAACCAAAAGGACAATAAATGGATACCTATACTGGCCAAATGCTGAGGATCCAGTAGATGTATTGGGAAGGTCTTTGGTGTGTTTGGGCGAAACCCCCAAAAAGGGGCGGGGGTGACGCAAAGGGAAACCATGAACACTCCCCCATGTTCCGCTTGGCTGCATTTAACCCCCCAAGGGGGGGCCCCATGTTTCCTCTGGGCTGCATTCCTCAATTTCGACCGAGTGGATTGGCCAACAAAGTTCACAGAAATTATGTTCACGCCATGGTTCAATCCCGGAAAGCGACCATTCAGGGGAAGGAGCTGCGGGGAGATTGGCAAATGGGTCTGTTTTTGAGGAGGAACCCACATGGCTGCGATTGATCGCTTTCAGCTCTTCCATCTGCGCTTTCGGAGCCACTCAAAAAACGCTCCGAAACACTTTCCAGGCACTGGGTTTAGTGTGGAATCATCACTGGAGGAAAACGCCCATCAATAAACAGAAGTTGATTCATATGCGGTCAACATCACCTTGGAAGCAGATTCGAGGTCACAGCCTCCATTCCCGACCCTGAAGGAAGGCTGAAAAACCCTCATTTGAAAGACGAACAAAGTGTGGCCAAAAGCAAAGCCAAAGCTACAATAAGCCGTGGGGCATTAGAAAATACTGAGCATGCTTATGTACATGTATATATATAATATATATAATATATACTTAATATATATATATATATATTGGTATGATGTCATGTAGACATGGCTACGTCTTATAGTGAGGGCACCTCTTGCTTGGTTGTGTTAGGCGCTCGGCGCTGTGAAAAGGAAAGCCGAAGCTGCAAGAAAGTCAAATGTTAAGTCTAAAAAAACACTGGGTGTATAAAACACGTGTACGTATATATATATATAATTTGTATTATTGTCTGCATCTTTCTTTGAGGTTCCCCTTTTTTTGTGGGATTAAAAGGACACATAAAGGAACACGGGGTCCGAATCCTAAAGAAAGACACGCCCATATATATATATATATAATTATGAATCTATATCCAATTTGCCCTGTTTCAAGGTTGGGGGCTCCTACCGAGCGCCTTGTTCAATGTTTTAATACTTGGAAGCCCCGAAGTTCGCGACCCAATAGGCACGCGTGATGTTACAAAGAACATGTCCGACCCCACATCAACAAATTTCGGCTTTGAGAGGTGTCCGTGTTTTTGTCTTTCCCGAGTTCTCTATCGTTTGCCAGGGATTGTTGAATGTTCACAACAACCAAACGCTGAATACTCAACTCAGCCGGGATCCTTCGAAATCGAAGCCTTCAACCTTTTAGGTTAAGGGGAAGCAAAAAGGAAACCAAACAGCTTAGGGTTCAGTTCCCGCCTTTGTTTACCGTTCAGGATGGCAGGGTTCAGTTCCCACCATTGACACAATGGGTTTCCTCTAACCACCTTTGCTTATCATTCAGGATTGTCATCATCTAAAATGGGTACTTGCCTTTTTTATGGGAGTAAGGAACCCTAGAAAAGAGCTTCGGGGACACTTCCGAAGGTTTGAGAAACCCCTATATTGACCTGCGGCCGAAATAAAGTTAACCTCGTGGGGTAACAAGGAAGTGTTTCCCCAACAAGTCATCTGGGTCCCCTCTGAAATAGGTTGCCCCTCCCCCCCCCCCCCCGCTTTTGCAACCAAGATTTATTGATCCTGGTTTGCTGGTGTCAAAACCGAACTTACTGGGATCCTTGGAAAATAAAAACAACAAAAACATTTGACTCCAAAAGGTTCAGGGCCCCAATAAAACACCACCTGCATCGTGGCTTGCTGACCTTCCATTTGCTTCACCTATTTCCAGTAGTGAAATCGATTCCCTTTAAAACCAAAACAGGAAAAGGCTCTCACAATCTTCACTTCAGCACGTGGTTTGCTGACCATGTCCTGACCCCTTTGTCCCAGACCCGCACGAGATTTGGTTGACGTTGGAAGGGCAGCAAAAAACAAATCTTAGCAGTTAAGTGGATTTGGATTTCAACCACTGAACCACAACAAGCAAAAATCGGAAAAATGTTTCCCAACAACAACCATGGAGAAGGGGCCCGACAAAACCCTTTGGGCTTCCCGGCGAGCACCAGGGCCACCGTAATCATGCCTGGCTCATGGCACAGCTTTTCTCCACACGCGGCCGTCAACCCACGGGAACAGCCGAACACCCAGGGCAGCGTATGACATGGGTATGGGTCAAAATTCAACCGCCAGGAATTGGACCGCAGGTTTTAGCAACCATTGTTTCCATTTACCCGGGCAAGCCATTTTGGGTAACAATTTCGACCCATAGCCACATGTCAACCCTGAGTAGAAAAGGCACCCTCTTGAATGTCAGGCTATGAGTTGTTTTCAGCCCCTGGGTGGAAAAAACAGGAGGTGCAACCCTGGAAAGCCAGGTCCTGCCAAAAAAAAGGCCTCAAAACAGGTGGGTATTTGGAGTAGGGGGTAGAACACCTGTCTGAATTCATGTGTCCCGCACCTTTCGGACGAATGTAGAGTCGAGGTCGATTCTGCTGACAGCATTCGATGAATCAGTGTTTGAGATATTGTGGACCAGGGTTCCTTTGACTCGGTTGCCGAAAAGTCCAGAACATGTGACTCTTTTGTGGTCGCTGCTTAACATGGTCAGAGGGACACCAAAGGTCAAAGCTCGGCTTTGGGCAACTGAGTTGATCCCAAGGTAGACTTCAACCCAGGTTGACATTGCCCATGTTGGCCCCGGATCTAAGCAGAACCTGTTCTATTAACAGGGGGGTGGTGTTCTCTCAAGCGGTCTGAACCCCCACAAGGGGACACTCTTCCATCGAAATCAACCAGGGGTGCTACCTACGTTCGGGGCTTCGAATTGTTGCTAAACTAACCTCCCTGTTTTCTTTTGAATAATAGCAACTGCATGGTTGTTTCAACATGGGTGTCTTTTGGAAGAGGAGCCCTTCAATGTCCTTATGCTTCACTTCGCTTCCGTTTGGCAACCAACCCCAAGCGACTCAAGGCCGACTCCCGGAACTCAGGGGGAGCCACTGAGACGCTTGGTTGGGCCTCAAATCACCTGCCCCGGGTCGCCCTGGCCCCACTTAAAACGCATCAAAAAGGGAAGCAGTTGCCCAAAAGGCGAACCTTTTGGGCCCACGTCAAATGGTGAGAACAAGGGAAAACCCCCCCAAAAAAAACACACACACGCAAACAAACACGGCTGGGAACCCAACCAAAAAAACACAAATTTCCCCCCCCCCCCCAAAAAAAAAGAAAAAGAAGAAGTGGCAGCGGCAACGGTGGGAAAGAAAACATCTCCAGCCCCCAAAACCGAATTGGGTGCCTGGGCCACCCAGGACCTGAGCGACGCAGGTGCTTCAACGATTTGTTCCTTGACCCCCCGAAACACGCCAAACAAACCGCCACACGAAAAAAAAGGTCGGTTGTAGTTTATGTGTTTCTTCTTTTTTTCCAACACGTTCCCCAAAAAACAAGACACACCAAACCCAAGATGGGCGGTTTGAATCTCCTTCCCAGAAGACAATACAAATGGGGGGGAGGGGCTGAACAAGGGGGTGCGTTTATTGCACACCTTCGTGATGTCAAACCCTGTGAGTAGCAAACAAATACTGTAGCATGCCCAACTGCTCTCGGCCAAGTTAGCTCTTGGAAACTCTGTAAGTCATAACCTATCAGTCCCCCGTGAATGCGGGGATAAGAACTGAGGAGGTTACATCCCAACTACCGATGCCTACAAACCCCTGGGTCGCCCAAGGCCCAAAGCTGCCATCAGCAGACTCAGCCTCTTGGAAGCGACCGAATTTCGAACTCGGACACCGTCTCGAGCTTTGGAGAACGCGAACCCCTGCCACCCAAATCTCAACAGCAAGGCTGCCTCACCCAAACGAGTTTGTTGACTTTCAAATGGGTTTGTCTCAAAAACAGGGACTAGGTCCAGTACAGGTTAGAATAAGGGTACCCTTTTCTCTGTAGTCTATTAGGGGAACCCTCCCCCAAAAAAGGGTAAAAGGGCACTACCGGGGGACCTAGGGGAAGAACCTGAAAATGGTCCGTGTCCCTTTGAAACGCAATTGATTGGCACATCTGCAATGGGCCAGCACTTCTTTTGCTCTTAAGTCTTTTGCCTCAACTGTTGCTAAAGCATCCCGGCTCTCGCGAGAACGGGAACGGTCACTGCATGTTCCAAGCCCGTGCAACTTGAGACTCAATTCACCTCTTGCGACCTAAGGGGAAACCCCCCACCTGGGAGTTTGCGTTATCCCCAAAACTTGTTGGTTCTCAGCAGGGAATGAGGGAATGACCCCCATAAACCATTCCTTGTGGTTTCCTGCAAGGGAATCCCTAGGTTCATTCCCAACACCCTTGATCATTTTGCACTGAGCGCCAGCAAGAAAACTCCCTTACCCAAACACTTACCCTGGTCTTTGGTATTTTTCCCGGCCTTGGGGTCAAAGCTTTTAGCATTGACCGTTGGCTACAGCGAAGCGATACTGAGACCCAAGCATAAGTCAGCAGCAAGTGCAGAAGGATGAAGAAGGCACTGATGCCCTGAACGAAAGAGCGCCACGACACATCGTTAGCTTTTTGAGCCCAGAAAGCCGGACCTGAAATATTGCATATCCAACTGCCCCCCCCCAATTTCCAGTGTTTCTAGTTACTTGTCTCTTGCTTTATTGTTATGTTATTTTCATGTGTTGTATTGTGTTTTTTTTTGTTTTATTTTGGGGGGTCAAGCCTTGTTTTGTGATCCCAGGTGTCCTTGTGAAAGAAAGCTAGTGAATCAACATGAACCATAGCCAGCGCCGATGTGCAACAAAATTAACTCTAAAGGCCACAGATATTGCTTCCACTTGCAAGCCAACCAACCAACCAACCAACCAACCAACCAACCAACCAATCAACCAAGACCCGTTAAGCCCGTTAGGTGCTTTAAAACGGTAATACATGTCACTCAGGGAACCCCCGCTTTGAATGGACACTGCTGGAAACCCTTTGGGAAGGGAATCCTCCGTGTTCACTGCCAGCAGTGTTTGAAGCCATATCATGCCAAGGCAGCCATGAAAAGTGGTGTGAGTCGTTCTCGTACAGGGTTGCAAGGCAGAGGTGACAGGGCAGAAGCAAGAGGGCACTTTACACACACTTTGACCTCTGCCAAACCGGGCAAGAAGGTGTGTTGTCACTGCAGTGGAGTGAAACTTGCAAGAGGCAAGGTCAGCCAGAAGTTGGCAAGGCCTTGTAGGTCTAGGAGGGATTAGGAAGCTATGCCATGCTTTGAGTGACAAAAAGAGAACCCCTAAAAACAGGAGATTGGGGGTTTGCGGAAACCATCTGAATTAGATCAGAGGGTAAAAAGCATGAGCATGCGCCACCTAGACATCGTCAAACTAGGGACTTGGACCCTGGGCTGTTGGTGTCCCAAGGCAAGCAGAAGAGTTTGTTCGTCAGTTTGGGTCTGGTCTCTGTGAGTTGTTTTTGCGGGGGGCTCGGCTTGGCCCTCCCATGGCCGACATGGAAAGGTAGCTGAAGGGAGAAACAATCATAACATGGGTGTGGATCCTTTTTTAGCTCAGATGCCCAGTGGCCATGGGAAAAAGGGCATCTATTTTTGGTTGGTTGAGTTTAAAAAACAGGGGCACCACTGGGCAACTGGGTTAGGGTGACGCTTTTGATTGGTGGAGGGAAGCCACCAGGAAGCTGCTGCCTTATTTTTTGGGAAGGGGGGGACTTCTGTTTTGAGGCGAACCCATTCACAGATTCCTCCTGTCAGCCAGGATGCATTCCAATTTAGGGGGATCTCATTTCTATTTCGGACCCCAAAAAAAACTGAGGTTCTCCTTTTGCGGTCTTTTTAAAAACCAGCAAACCAAGGAAAGACGAGCCCCAGCCCCTATCAGCCTATCCGCGCCAACCCCGGGGGACGCCGAAACGCCGCAAGCGGAAAGGCGCGCCCACGCGCGCCGCGAGGCTGTAGGCAAGCAGCCGCAAGCTTTGCTGTGTGGCGTTGGCCTGGACGAATCGTCGCGTCGTGCCGTGCAAAACGAATTGCCGTAATTACTTGGTAGACGTTGGGTTTGGGGAGCAAAAAGTATCCAAAAGTTTAGCAGTTCAGTAGATTTGGATTTCAACCACTAAAGGGGATTTCAACCACTAAACCACAACAAGCAAAAATGGGAAAAACGTTTCCAAACAACAACCATGATTAAGGCCCCTTGCAAAATGAGGAAATATATATATATATATGTATATATATATATATATGTCCCCCCCAGGGTCCAAGTACCTAAGGAGGTATTTGGACCCTGCAATTACATGGTTCACGTTGGGTTTGGGGAGCAAAAATTCTCCAAAAAATCAGCAGTTAAGTAGATTTGGATTTCAACCACTAAACCACAACAAGCAAAAATTGGAAAAATGTTTCCCAAGAACAACCATGATTAAGGCCCCTGGCACAAATGAGCACATATATGTCCCCCCCCCCGTCCAAGTGCCTAAGGAGGTACTTAGACCCCTTTTTATCCCCCAAAGGCCATCCTCAAGAGTTGCTTGGACATTCTGGGCCAGTAGTGAAATCGATTCCATTTAAAACCAAATATATAGCTGTGGGTCAAACAGCGGTACCCAAAATGGATTCCCGGTGAATGGAACCAAGGACTAAGTCCCGTGGTGGTTTAATTTTGACCCATACTGCGGATGGACAAAACCCATTTCGCACCACTTTGAAACCACGGTTGAAACCATTGCTTGTTGGTATTTGCAGGTGAATCATCATTCCAGGGTTTCTTAGGTGGTGCAGGATTTCGTCAATCCACAGTATGTCCAGTAGTGAAATCGATTCCCTTTAAAACCAACAGGGAAATATAAAATATTCTTAAGCAAATGGAAGTGTGCAAAACCCGACAGTTGGCATTCCCCAAAAATCGCCGGACCGAACCCAAAAAGGGGCCCACTTGCCAACAGGAGTTTCCACTAGAAATTGTGGTTCGTTGTGGTCCTTCCGAAAATCCGAAAATAAGTAAAACTATATCCAAACTGGTGCGAAATGGATGTAGGAATCATAGGGCTGCATCACAACTAATGCGAAATGGATCCACAATAGTCAAAATCCAATTGTGAGCCGCAGTGAAATTTATTGCCCCACCAGTGTACGGGACAATTCGGGGTCGTTTGTTGGTAATTAAGTCCACAGAAACCATGTTCTGGAGAAACATATCCTTATGAAGGCCATGATCATGTTTCCATACAGGTAACCAGCCCATGCGTTCGGGCACAAAGCTGACCATTGCGTGTTGACCACCTAGCATTTCAAAAGCTAGCGATGCAAGCGGAAGAAAAGTGTCTATGGTACCCGTATGGGAGCAGCGCCCACAGCTTTCTCTCGTGTGGGTGGGTCGGTTTTGGTCACTCCTGCGCAGCGCGCTATCAGCCGCAACTGCTAAAAGCTGCATAAAGCTCCGCCAGCCGCCAGCCGGGCCCTGCTGTGCAGCAAGATGGCGTGCAGAGAGACACGGTGATGGCCACACAGGAAGCGAACTCTTCCACCTTGCCAAAGTCTGGCATCCTCTCCTTTAAGGCAAACACCGCGAGGAGCCCCCAGCCTGGTCGGTCGCAACGCCCACGTCTGTCCAGATCCATTCTGCAGACTCAAGCCCCAAAAAGAAAGGCTCCGCAAGCAGGTTGCCCTACATCATCCTTTGCGCTCGTAGCCACGGATCCGAACCGAATCGAATGCCATATGAGTCATACTCAAAACCCGGTGTTACCATGGCCGTAATCCCAGAACCATGAAAAGAATTAGGTAGGCGAAATTCCGCACCCATGTATGCTAACCTTCATCTTCCCGGGTTTTGATTGTGACTCATATCAAGTTGGCAGGGCCCATAATACGCATCGCCCGTCCAGTACTTTACGCATCACCCCTCAACTACTTCTTTGTAGGTACAAAGGGAATCTGTATAGGGAAGATCATTTATTTAATATTAGTTCGTCCCTTCCATCGTGGGAATATGTTTCTCCCACCTTAACAGGTCAAGGGTGCGGTTCCAATACTCCATTTATCTACTACTTGAGGTCAGAAATGGAAAGGATTACCACCCTGCACCTATTCCAATACAACTCACAGGGAACATCTACATGCTTAGGGGCAAGTTCCCAGTTCTCTTGGATATGCCTCGGTGAACAGGTTAGCCACCAACTTCTGGTTCCTTTCTCAAAATGGGATCTTGGAATGGGGCCAAACCTTCGCGATCGCGAGCTTCAGATGGCAAACGCCGAAGCTTCGCTGGCATGCACTCACACAACAAACAACTCCCTTGCTTCTTCCCATTTTCCGGACTTGACACAAGAGCGGCAGACCCGATTGAATAAAAAGTGGCATGACAGCAAGCAAAGATGGTTGCACCTTACTTTCCCGTGACCCTGGAAAAAAGGGTACCTGTTTAGTGGCTTGGTTTCAAGAGGACACGCCGGGTGCGTGACAACCAAGCCGTGATACGGCAAACTGGGCTTCCGGTGCTCTCTCTGTGATATCAAGTCGTTTTCTGTTTTTTCCTCTTTTCTGTTGCACACCGAGTTGTCATTGGCAAGTATTTCTTTGGAGTCAGGGCTGACGTCATACCACCTGGAGTCTCCATGACCCTTACAAAATAGGTCCATGACCCCAGTAGATAGGGAAATGACCCCATTTTTGAAGGGTCATGGACACTCCAGGCATTCAATAAAAAGTCACTCTTGCAGGTATGGGGATGCGGAATGGTGCCACGTTTGCCAGCGCCCGTCGCATACCTTCTTTGGCGGAAGAAGTTGATTGCACTTCGATCAATCAGGGGTGCGTTTTTTGACTACCCCAAGGCCCAGGGGTGGTTGATTCCCCCAAAAGGGTCAGTTTAAGTCTACCCCAAGAAGGTCAACAAAAACGGAACCCTGATTTCAATGGTCGTCCCAACAGTATCAAGTCCAGGGATGCAGGGATCAAGGCCAAAAGGTGCACACTCCCTCGCACGTCATCCGCGCCTTGGACATCAGCCTCAGTGAAAATTCAAGCGAGATGTGGGGACTTACCGCCGATTCACAAGTGACCCAAGAAACCCTTCCCAGTGAAGGCAACCAAAGGCAAGCACTGCGGATCTTGGCCGTTTAAAGATTGAGAATAGGTCGAAGACATCGCATCCCCGATTCCCCTAATTATTCGCTTTACATGACAAAACTGTTCAACTCCAGCTATCCTGAGGGAAACTTCGGAAGGAACCAGCTACTAGATGGTTCGATTTGTCTTCGCCCCTATACCCACATATGACGAACAATTTACACATCGGTACCGCTACGAGCCTCCATCAGTTTCCGCTGACTTTGCCCTCTGCAGGCATAGTTCACCATCTTTCGGGTCCGAACACACGCTCTGACTCCACATCATCCATATGCTAGACTCCTTGGTCCCTGTTTCAAGACGGGTCGAAGAGAACCATTTTATCAGCGACATGCTCGCCTGAATCCCCGGAGGCGCCAACAAAATTCTGCAAAAGAGTCCCGTGCGACAAGGGCCATCCCAAAGCGAGCGACACCGCAAGCATTCATTCACGTACGTAGTGCGAACTTCTTAGGCATTCACGCACAAGGCTTGTGAAAACTCAGAGCAGTCTCAGCCAGGGTCTTGGTTGCATTCGCTTCCCCTCTAGCGATTCCAAGCACTTTTTAACCAGGGTTCCGTTTTTTGACTACCCCAAAGTCGACTTAAACCCAGGGGTGGTTGATTTCCCCAAAAGGGAAACTCCTGGGTTTCAGTCGTCCTTGGGGTAGTCCAAAAATGGAACCCTGCTTTTCACCCTCTTTGCTGAGAGAACCGGCTTCTAACCACCTGCAAATGTCTATACCGTACCGGCAAGTACAGTGGACTTTTGCCCTGCGTGGAAACATCCAATGGCGAACTTCACTCACATTTGGTGCATGCACCCTTTAAACAAGTTGGGGCAGGGTTCCACTTTTTCAATACCTCAGGCTAGACTTAAACCCAGGGGTGCGTCATTACCCCCAAAAAAGAAACTCCTGAGTTTAAGCCTATCTTGGGTAGTCCAAAAGTGGAACCCTGAGCTGGGGGGAACATCAGGGCCCGCGCTGTACCCAGCAATGACGCGGAATGAATAACCAGCCCCAGTTACAGGAAGAAATCCTGAAGCGCTTGACCATGGCACGATTGCAGCTCTACCCTACCACATCACAAGGCAGATGCATATGATATGTAATAAATATCTGTATACATTGTTTTCTGTATATATATATATATATGCTCACCCACCATGATCCACAAGTATGTATCCAAGTTAATTGTACACATCAACAGCTAGTTCTTTCACGAGGTACGCACTAACTGACATTCCCCCCCGCCCAACCCCCCTCCACACCCCTCCCATCCCCCCCCCCCCCCACACACCCCCACTCCCATCCCCCCCATCCCCCCGGCGCGTGGAACTTAAGGTGCTGGCCGAAAACCAAATGTACCGCGCGCCGCCCGGCACGCCCGGACTCGACTCGAGTGGTCGGAAGTAAAGAAATAGACACCCCGGAGGAGGTGATTTTTCAGGTAGATGACGTGTCAAGCTTGGAACCCAAAAGGGCTTCCGAAGTCGCGAAATGCGAAACTGATTCTTGGGAAGAAATCAAAGAGCTAGCCTATACTCGTTTCTCGCGCCCCAATTCTCCAAAACGCAGAGGGTGGCAGGTGGCCACGTTTGGGCGGTCAAACTAAGGGTCAGCACAAGGCCCCAACTGGTCTCACGCGAGCCTGTCGCCTTGAGCCAAAATCAGAGCCCCGGAGCAGACGAAGGGCGGGTTTGTGGGAACTCATTCTTTGGGGGGCAGGGGCTCTCGAATTTGTGTGGTCCGGATTTATCAGGGAACATTATAACCCCATTTATACTTAGAGTGATTCTCCAAGATGCTACAATCATAGCAATCCAAATGTGATCATTTGCAAAAACTAATATTGAACAATTACAGAACAAAACCTTTAGTGGGCCTCGACGGAAACCTTTCCTATGAAAGGGTATGCACATGCTTTGACAATTTGAGCGGGCAACAAACCTCTCCCCGAATCGAAACTCAATTGCCCCGCATAGTGTTGACCCCGCATAAATAAACACAAACATTTCCCATTAATGGGGGGTCCTCCAAAAGTCATGAATCTCCACCAAAAGGGGACACCGCCCCCAATCAAAATCAACCAGAACTTTATTCATTTCAGGTGCCCATTATGTATGTATACTATATGTATGTCTATATATATATATATATACTAGTATATATAAGTATGTCCCTACCAGGCAACCAGGATATAAAACAGGAGACCCCACGGATGTTTACCCGCTTGCGAAGCTCGACATCTGTCCTGGTTCCCAGGACCTGCTCACTACACATTAATTGGGGAATGGGGCTGAATGGGGATAGCCATTTATGAGCAGCACTCAACCTCTTGCTTATGGCGCTATACTTTGTGCGCGATTCACGGTGCCCACTTGTCGTAGGGTATATATGGCTATGGGTCAAAACCCCGTACCCCCAGTGAACATCCCAATCCCCATTAAAATAGACTAAGATGGGTGGTGGACCTACCCCAAAATGGTACCATTGGTGTTGACCCACGGCCATATCAAACAAGTGGGTGGATGTAGAGGTATCCTCAGGCTTCGCTGGTTCGCCCTTCACCCTACGAGGCTAGGCGCTTCGAATCGAAACCTCCGGTTGCGAAGAAGTCTCCTCGAAAATTTGGAGAACATATTTCCAGTGATAGATTCCCTTTAAAACCCAAAGGAACAAAACATCATGTCCTAAATCGCATATGAAAGGAAACCATTGACTTTGGGTTGGCAAATTCACGCGGGTGTTGACCTTCCCTCAAGCGTTTGAAACGCGAACGCCAAAGGTTGCGGGCGCTGCGCAAAGACAAACATTTGAACGGCTCAACCAAGTACCTGAGTGCTCGGCCAACTCGCTGTTTTTTTCATCTAGGGAGTCACCCCCTTGCCAACTACCCGGTGCATCCATAACCTATCTCATACAAAAAGTCGGTGGAATATGCAAAAAGGCACCGTTGTATTGTTTGTTGTGTGTCGTTTTTTGTCTTTTTGTTTTTCTTTTTTTGCCGGGGGGGGGGGGGGGGAGAACCCCATATTTGGAAGAGAGGCTGTCCACTTTACCCCTACTCCAAATAAAAACTTGTTTCTGTGCATCGTTTATCATTTCAAGAACCAGGTCCTGGTTCCATGCTAAACACCTGTCTTGTTAGTCCGGGGTTGACATCATGCCCTATCACCTATCATACCATCAACAAAATGGGTACTGGTGAAGTATGAAAAATAGGCCAATGGTGAAGTGGTTCAACTCACTCTACCCATGGGGGTCCGATGAAACCAACAACACCATTCAAATTTCAAACTCCAAACACCCCCTGTCTTAGTCGAAAAAGTTGAAGAACTGTATGACTAATATGTTTCTTTGCAAACACCTCCTGTTTCCTTCAGGGTTAACATCATACTGTGGATGGACAAGATCCTGCACCACTTTGAAGCCATGGGATTTCATTGTTTGTGGGTATTCACCGGGGACCCATCATTCCAGAGTTTGTTCTGTGGTGCGACATGGATTTCGTCCATCCACGATATGGTTCTTTGTAAGCATCTCGTTTCTTTCTCCAAAACACATGCCGCGCATGTACTCACTTGCCCCTAGGGACCTGGAAATCAAACGTTCACCTTTTGGGACATAGACCAAAAAGGGAAAACCCAAAACTAGGTCCTCCATTAGAGAGGATAGAATAAGGCTACCCAGCTTTTTCTGGACGTCTGCTTTAGTAGGGGAACCCTCCCCCCCAAAAAAAAGCCGTAAAGCTTGCACTACTGGGGGACCAACAACTGAGAAAGGAGAACTCTTCAATTTTCCCGTGCCTGGCCACCTGCGCCGAGACGGGCAGTCGATCGGTCGGAGGTTGCAATGCCTGTGGGCGGCTCGTCTTTTTCGGGGGTACGCAGGGTTCCATTTTTTGACTAAGGTGGACTTTAACCCAGGGGGTTCGCTTGTGGGGAAATCAACCACCCCTGGCTCAGTTGTTCAGTGACGCTGGAAAAAAATGAAAACCCTTTTTTGGGAAGACCATTTTAGTGGGGCAGCCACAAAAAAAAGGAAATTAATTGGATCCACTAAACAACTGAGCTGGGTTTAAGTCGACTTTCTTGGTTGAAGTTGGAAGGGGAGCAACAAAAATATTTGTTAGCAGTTAAGTGGGGATTTCCCACTAAACCACAATAAGCAAAAATGTAAAATGTTTCCCAATGACAACCATGATTTGGGGTAGTCAAAAAAGCGGAACCCTGTACCCACCCAATGCAAAGGTAAAACCCAGGAACATCACCGTGCGGGGCCAAAAAAGAGACACGGAGGCAAAAAGAAGTTGTTGTTTTTTGCAGCCTTTGCTTTTTAAGCCACCCACTAAACATGAACGGAGCCAAAACGACAAACAACAACGACTAAAAAGCATGCAAAGACAGTGAAGCGAAAGCTCTTGAGATCAAGGCCAACTGGATAGAGGATAGAGGTTGGCTGTCTACGTGTAGAAACAACTATACCAGTTTTTGAGTTGGATTCTGAATTGCCAGTGGCTGGTGCCATGAACAAACCCGCCTTTTGCTCGTTGGATCCGTGGTGCTCTTGCAAACTGGATAAACCATGCCTGCTCATGCGCGATCCGTGCCCAAACACCAAACAGAGTTGCAAAACTCCCCGTTTCAACAACCCAGTTGCACCCCATAAAAAGGGGGACCAAAAGGAAGCTTATGAAACACACGTGGTTAAACAACCCCCAACCAACAGAAACTTTGTGAATACCAAACAAAAAGGCATCACCCACACCCCTGACCAAACTCCCCAACTCCCCAACCGGTTGCTCCGACTCCCCGACTCCCGTTCGACTACTTTCCATAGGCAAATGCAATGCTCTGGCTGGGCCCTGAGAAAACCCATGAAATGAGCTTCTCAAAAGGACGTGCCTGGAGTCTCCATGACCTCTTAAAAATGGGGTCACTACCCGAAATAATGGAGTCATGACCCCATTTTTAATGGGTCACGGAGACTCCAGGTGTGCCTTTTTTCTTTTGGGGGGGGTCCATCATCTTTCTTGTTGACTTTGGTGGTTTTGAAGGACTGCCAAAAGGAAAACCAGCTTCGTGGGTCCGATTCCTAAGGACAGAGCCATAGGAAACCAAACCAATTCTCTATCCTTTTGGTTCGAAGGCTCGGAGCATCCTTCGACATCCGTTCTCAGGTGCGCACTTGACCATTCCCAGTGCCCTTTCCTTTCACATAAGGGGGCAGCAACCTAAGAACACTTGCCCTTCCATGCCACTTCCACTGGCCTTTTTCGCTGCACATAGAAACCCTGTTTTCCCTAGGGGGCTCCTGGCTTTCATTTTCGCTGCAGGCGCTCTTTCGTGCCACGAATTCAAACCAAATTCGAGCCAGCTCGCTTTTAGTGCTGGAAGCACAGAGCTGGCTGTGCAAGCCTACAGGCGCCTTTTAGTAACCTGAGCAAAGCTCAGTCTCAAAATGACCCAAACAACACAAGTGTACCCACTGAATCTGCTCAAACATTGACAGGAAACAACTGTAAACCGATATCCAGGAAACCACTCGAAACCAGCTTGAACCGCTACCATGGGTCAGTTTGCCAGTTGCTCATATAGCACACTGTGCATTCAAGGCGCCTCTAAAACCAAGGTTGGAGCGATGCTCGGCGAGAGTTCGCCTGGGCTTGTTCAATGCAACATGGATGCCATGGGTTTCATGTCATTGGCCAAAACGCTTTGCCGAAACGATGAGAAAACGAGCCCCCCGAGCCAGGCTCGCTGCACGAGCGAGCGATCGATTCAACCGACCGCTGCTCAGGTGCCCAGTGATTCTGCTTCGCAGACGCTGTCACGAGTGAGCTCGCTTCACCAAATGAGCTCGCCATAATTTGTGCAAACGTGTATACCCACGATTGAGTGTGACGACCCGTCTTTATTGCGAGGGAGTCCCATGAAAGCAAACAGTAAATCTTTGTGGCTCTTGCCCCGTGCGCAAAGCGCTTAACATTGATTTGCGGGGAAACCTTACATGAATGATTTCTGATCATGTACTGGGAATACACGGCTTCTACAACAGGAAAAGGCAAACGATCCAATCAAAACTCGGTTGCTTTCTGCTCCCCTGCTAAAAGTTTAACTTTTAGTAGTTTAATAGAAAACCCACTAGTTGACAAAAAGTTAAAGTTCTTACATCCGTTGGCAAAATGCACCAATCAAAAGGCAGCCAAGAAAGAGTGACTGCCCGGCAGAAAAATGTGCTTCACAGGTTGGAGATCCAGGCTGCAGCTGCTTACCTCGGCGCAAATCACCGCCGAGCCGAAATGCCTTGCTTCCAGAAAACCTTCAAGCACGCAGGGAAATGCCTGGTGGTCAAGAACGGGCCATCAACCAAAGAAGCCCCCGGTTGATGAATAGGGGGAGTGTCACATTTTCCAGGTAAACCTTTGTAGTTTGGGGAACTACCCAAGAAATACCCCTTGCAAATCCCAGTTGATAACTGGGTCAACATCACCCCCCAAAGATGGATACTCAAAGAATTTGAAAGGACCAAACTGGGCAAGCAAGATTCACGTCGGTGAATTAATCACACTCTTTGCTGCACCCCAACTCCAAATCTAGCCCTCACTGAATCCCCCCGACAAATCATAAGAGCCTTTTAGTCCTTACATGTCCTTACACCAATTGTCAATTGGGCTTAATTAAGCTTACTTAGGTCTAATCAGATTAGAAGCTTACCCTGCCTTCATCAATCACGGAAGCTGACAGCAGGGTTTTGGAAGACTACGTTTGCTTTTGTGAAAGCTGCCATGCAGGTCCACGATTGTTGGAAAAAGGGTACACCAAAATATAAAACTCGCCTCATAAAGCAGGGGGTGTCACCCAGAAAGTGATGAATCCCCACAGGGCGACAACCCCCTATGCATCAACCAGGGGTTTCCCCAAATCGTCTTCCCCAAAACATATCATGCGAAGCTTAGGAAGTGAGACAGTCACTTGTACCATGCCAAAACCATGAGGGCGTCCTGAAACAGCGCGGTTGGAAGACGCGCCCAAACCCTGGGGGAAAAATCCTATGGTTCAGAGCCACCACAGGTCATGGGATGACCCTTGGGGAAACCACGTGGTCATCTAGGTGCTCCAGATTTGAGAGGTTAGAATAAGGGCACGTAAGCTTTTTTCAGGACGTCTATTTTAGTAGGGGAACCCTCCCCCCCAACAAAAAGGCGTGAAGCTTGCAGTGCTGGGGGACCTAGTCATGGCCGAAGAGGATATGGATCAACTATCCTCTAAAAAATCATCACCGCGATTCCTTCTCCATGGGCCCATTGGATGTGTAAAGCCACGGGTGGTTGGAGTAGGGGGTAAATCCAAGAAACCTACGGTTCTAACCTAAGCGAGATCGAAGCTCCCCGAAGAGTGATCACCGATTTCGGGGGTAGAACCCGGCGATACGGATAGACGAAATCCATTTCGCACCACTTTGAAACCATGGGAAGCCATGGTTTGTTGGTATTTACAGGAAATTGTCATTCCAGGGTTTCTTCGGTGGTGCGAAATGGATTTCGTCCATCCACAGTATGGTTGTCAAGGGGCCAATAGCGACTGAGGTGAATTGGGGACTAATGTCTGGGGACCCCAACCATCCGGACCTTCTACAGCTTTGTTGTTTCCGGTGGGTATTTGGCACCGTAGCGAACCCCCGGTAGCTGGTTAGGAAAAAACTGTAAAACCCGTCGGCCAGTTTTCTAGGACTGGGCATCCTTTAAAAATGGATCTCGGGAGTAAGACCCTCTTTGCTTTCGGGGATTGACATCAGACCCTCAACAACTATTGGGGTACAGGCCAACCCAGGAGGACTCCGCATATGCTGGTTCTCATTTTGCTACCCCTTTGAAACAATCTGAAACGGGTACCCTCCTCAAACACACACACACACAAACGAGGCTTTGGTGTCAGCATGTTCAAACCGTGATTTGTTTAAACAACATTCGCTTTTGGTTTCCCTTTGAACGAGTTCGGAGCACTCAAATGACAAGCGGACCTAGAAATAAAAAGGTCAAGTTTTTTGATGCTTTTGGGACCGCTCAAAGCGGACCCAGGGAGGACCAAAAGCTCGAAAGAGCGGGTTTTGGCCTGAGGATGCTCCAACATATAAGAGAAATCTTCCATGTTCATTCTCTTTTGAGGAAACCATCCAAACATGTGGGGGAAACAGCTGGTTGTTGAAAAGAACGATGGCCAAAAAGAATGAAATTGGAATCAACCCCTAGAACCAAATGGATGGTGTTCTGTTGGATTCCCTTTAAACAAAACCCTTTTTGGGGGGTTCCATATAGAATCAACCCTTCCATTTGCATAGGCCCTGGAAAAAGTGCGCAAATATGTCCAGCAGTGAAATCGATTCCCCTTTCAAACCAAAAGGGAAATTGAGAAAAATAGTCAAGCAAATGGACGAAGCCCTAGAACAAAGTCTAGGTCCTCCAGAAGCGAGATTAGAATAAGGGTACCCTTTTTTTCAGGACGTCTATTTTAATAGGGGAACCCTCCCAAAGAAGGGTAAAAGGGCACTACTGGGGGGCCTAGCAAGCAAATCTACGAAGCCCCTAGAACCAAGTGATGCCCGCCTTCCCTCTGCGCGTCCATTCGGAAGCCGCTCAATTCTTGCGCCAAGTTGCGTGGCCACTCGCGGTGCTCCTCGGTCAGACTGCTTGCGAAGACGCTTGGCTGCCGCAGCAGGGCGGTGCAGGTTCCTGAGCTACCGTGGATGGCGGCGAAATCCGTTCGCACCCTTTTGGGTGGTTTTAAAATGGAAACCAAAAGCACACCAACCATTTTGGGAGGTTGGATTGCTGCGAAATTGGTAGTTTTAAAGGCGAAATTGGTGGTTTTAAAGGCTAGGTCCTCCAGTAGAGAGGTTGGAATAAGGGTACCAACTTTTTTCTGGACGTCTAATTTAGTAGGGGAACGCTCCCCAAACAAAGGGGGTGAGAAAGGGCACGACTGGGGGACCTAGAAGGGGAACCAAAAGGACACCAACCATTTTCGGAGGTCCCCTAAAAATGGACCCACTTATTGAAACGTGTCCTTTTTTCACAGCCCTTGTGGGAAATATTGTGGATGGACGAAAACCAGAAACCATTTCGCACCACGAAATGCATCCACAGTTGAAACCATAACGTTTGTTAAGGTATTTACGTTGGAGACTCGACTCAGAAACCAGATTGTTGTCCATCCACAGTACGTCCAGTCTTTCAGTTACCATTCAGTGGGTGTTTTGAGGGGACCCTCAAAATGGATTTGATTGTTTTTTTGTTTCCCTTTAAACCAACCTTATATGCACCCTCAAACAAAAAACCTTTTTTGGGTAGCCGAGGCAAACCATCCTGCTTGGATCTTCCAACTGCAGATTCCGTTTCCTTCCAAATTGCTGGTTTCGGAAAGAACCCGTTTGGGGGGTGGGAACAGAAACGAAGACCTAGCCGTTTTCAACCTAGAGGTAAAAATACCTGGCCGAAAGATGGTAACTGCAAGCACAAGTCACTTTCCGAGTTCTGTTCCAATCTCATCGGGTTCGAACCTGTTGGTCTCACTAAGGGATCGGCATTTACCCTGAAAACCGTTTGTTTTCCCGAGCATGCCAACCAAAAAAGGCGGGTGTACTTGCTTCCTCAGTGGACTGGCCCAAAAAGGCCAAACTTTTCCGTCTGCCATTCAACTGGTCCAAACCCAAAAGCGTAAACAAGTCCAGGAACTCTGGAAGTGAGTTGTTTAAAGGTAACTTGTCACTTCATTTTTTCCACTCCGCAAATATGAGGTACTGGCTTCAGGACCCTCCAACTCGCCAAACAAAAAACACTTATCAACAAACGACCGCAAACTGGATGTGCTTTCGATTGGTTTCCCTTCCAAAGGCCCAAGTTGGTAGGCCAAGTTGGTAGGCCATTGGTTCTGACCCTGGAAGTCCCGGCCCCGTGAATGTGGGGTTCACCTTGCTATGTCTCCGTGACCCTTCAAAAATGGTTGGTCATGCCCCATTATGTTGGGTAATGACCCACCATTTTTAAGGGGTCATGGAGACTCCAGGTGGGTTATAACCTAGGTTACCAACAACTTAACTTGGCGGATCGAACACCCAAGTAGGCTTCATGAAAAAGCCGTGTCTAGTCTTCCCATGAACGGGAACATGGAACCGTACGCATGGAGATCTCCAGCGTCAGCCTCCCCCAGCTCCATTTCTAAGGGAAACGGTGGGGCCTTTGGGTCTTCCAACCTCCTCACTCCCATTGGCAAGCTGCCCTACAGACACCGGACTCAGCACCAGCCCAGAGATGCTGCCCTCCACATGGCCTCACGCCCGAGCGGCAACCAGCTCAACTGATATGTACGCGAAAGAAAAAGAAAAAAAAACACCCCACCAATGAACGCTCACCTTTCATGGGCCAACAATAACATGATGTGAATACAACCCGCCAAAAAGGAAAATATAGGGACCCTGCCTGGGCCAAAAAACCTACTCATCAGGCTATCTGGCCCAAGTCTAAACGTGGGTGTCCCCATTTCACCCACCTACAAAAGGACACCCTTCAACGGGTAAAGGCAGGGGTTTTTCCACCAGCCGCTGGAACAGGTCTTTGGAAAGTTTGTGTTCAAAACGAAACCCAATTCACAGGCCCCAACAAACCAGCACAACGGCCATCCTGGGCTAAGGATCCTGCCCTTGCAGAACGCATTTTTATTGTTTGTTTGTGGTGGCTCGCCACCACAATTTGTGGATTGGCCAACCTTACCCGAACATGCCAAATGGAGGCCATTTGCTTGCGGACAAGGCTCACTACTTGTCCCGGCCTTCCGAACCTGGACCTTCAAACGTACCTGAAATTTCTGCCTCCCCTGTCAATCGGCTGGTTTTTGCAATTCGTACCTTGTTTTCTTGGCTTGGCCTCTTTTTTGGACCTCGAGCAGTTTTTGGAGGCATGCGGGCTGTCAGGTCCTAACATGACCTACTCGAGCAGAAATGGTGTGCAAAAACGCCCGCAACGGCCCGCAAAACGAGCGCAAAAACCCGCAAACGAGCGCAAATTTGAAAAAGTGCTCGTTTGAACATATAAACCTCGGGCACTTTTTCATTGCTCGGGCAGAAATTGAAGACTCGGGCACAAACTGTGTGTTCGAGCAGAAAAAAAAGCGAGCAAACAAAAAGGTATCAATGGAAGGTCCAGGAAAGCGGCTATTTGGGGAGCCCGTGTGCCCAGAATAACCCTTGAGTGTCTGGCAACGAGAATTCGAAACTTGAAATAAGGAACGGCGCCCCCTTTCCAAATCGGCAAGCCCGCCATAAAAAGGCAAAGCACTGAACTGGCTGGCTCGCTCAAGAAACCACGAGGGATGGCTCACAGACGGTCATTCCCACATTGCTGACAATCAGTCCCCTCCAAAACAAAGGAGAAAGAAACAACTACACTGGCTCCCAAGGCAAACACACAAGTCACACAAGCAAGACTTGTGTGTATGTTCAACAGCTGCTAATCAGACACAAACGGGCAGCAGCCGTTTAACAACGGCACACAACAAAGAATAAGAACATGAACAAGAACACATCAAAACCGACAATGCGAACAAAGACCAACAACCAACAACCCACACCCGAGAGCGGCATCAACAACAAATGCAACAGCAAATGCAACAGCAACAACTATAACAATAACAGCAACCAAAAACAATAACAAGCATAACAACACACAACAAAAAAAGAACAACAATAACAGTAACAACAACAATAAAACAGAGCAACAACAAGAACAATAGCAATAACAAGAACAATAACAAGAACAACAAGAACAACAAAACAACAACAAAGGCAAGAACAACAAGAACAACAAGGTAACGGGCGCGTAACGACCCGCGCGTTTTCGTGCACTTCGCTGAAAAAACAGCAGCGCTTTGTTTAGCATGCATTGCTTCTCGTGTCACATCCTAAAGTCTGCGCAACCTTGTCCAAGTGCCCGCCAAAGATCTGCCTGCACTTGAGCGGGTGTGCTTACCATTTGGCACGCGTGGATACAGTGCTGACCCGCTCAGCACTGTATCCATGCCTGCCAAATGGTAAGCACACCCGTTCAAGTGCGCCCGCTCAGCGCTGTATCTCAAGTGCACCCGCTCAGCACTGCATCCATGCCTGCCAAATGGTAAGCACACCCGTTCAAGTGCACCCGCTCAGCACTGTATCCATGCCTGCCAAATGGAAAGCACACCCGCTCAAGCGCACCCGCTCAGCACTGTATCAGGGTCACAAGGTTTGACATTAAACAAGGCCAACCATCAAGGGCGGGCCAGATCCCTTTTTTGCCGCGCACATCCCAGATTCATCTGGCAGAACGTATTTCCATGACGTGCCTTGCTTGCACTGATTTAAACGAATTTGCTCTCACCTGCGTCTTCAAACAAGTCAGTAACTCCACCCGCTCAGCGTCAATCAGTTGCAGGAAGGGCCAGCATTAATTGCTGCTTGTGCGACGAGGCAGTCCCGGAATGCCGAGAGGCAAAGACATTGAGTTGTTTGTGTCGCTCTGGAGTTTGTCACCAGGACGAAGTCAGGAGGCGGCGGGAGTTGAGGCTTGTTCTGGCTGACAGCGCAAAGCTGTGTCTTGGCTTCCACGTAGATGCAGAACTACGCTTGGAGACACCCGAGAATCTCCCAAAAGCGGGGGGTCGTGCCTGCATTTGCACGCTTGTCAGGTCACGTGGACCTTTGCCTGGCGCCCCAAACACAAGCGTGGGTTTGAAAGCCATTTGAACAGAGCAGAAATCTTTTGAGTTCTGCCGGCTCTGGGGCGCCGGGCGCCCGGGCGGGGGGCGCCCCGGGGCGGCGGGCGCCTGGGGCGCCGGGTGCCCGGGGCGCCGGGTGCCCGGGGCGCCGGGCGCCCGGGGCGCCGGGCGCCTGCCTCCACCTTAGCATCCAACAAGCTGAAAGAAGCCTTGCCAAACGAAATGTCACTTCGCAACAAGTGTTTCCCGTGAAGTGATGTCAAGCAGGACCTGGCAGAATAGGGGGACCGTAGGTGTCCCGTGGCAATTGCGACGCAGCTCGCTTTGCTTTCAGGGAAGTTGTGGTTTGGACGCTGTTTTCCTGTGGTTCTCCTTCGTTGTTTTCGGAAACGGCGCAGGCCATTTCTCAAGTGTCAGTGCTTTAGAGCTTCCGGCTCATTCTGCAGACATGACCCTCTGCTTGCTTTAACGTCGTACAAGCGCAGCGAGTGTGGTTTGTTTGCTTGTAGGATTTTGTGTCACAAGTGAGGCAAAGGGCAGCGCAGCCGGAGATACATTCACTTGCAGACCAGCTTGGGCGTGAACCCCAGTCAATTCAAACTGTGTTGCACGATTACGAAAAGTTTTGCCTGGTCCGCCGGTGCGCGGCCACATCGGAGGCGTGTAGTGCCTTCGCTCCCCGTGGCTTGAGTCGCTGAGTTGCAGCAGACAATGCGAGACGCTCGCGCCACACTCCGTTTTGTTCCATGTTGCGATTGGAAACGCAGCTCTGGTTCTCAGAAACAACCGGCGCAAAGAGAAACAGCCACAGCGCAGGCGCGGCCACCGGGCGGCTCCTTTGATTTTTTTCGGACAATCGAGGGTCTCTTGCAAGGGACCCCCAAAAAACCAGTGTAGGGCCTACACTGGTTTTTTGGGGGTCCCCTGCCAGGGACCTACAGCTGATCTGCGCGTCTTTTGCAACCTGAAATCATGTGGGGGTCCCTTTCAGGGGACCCCCAAAAAACCAGTGTAGGCCCTACACTGGTTTTTTGGGGGTCCCCCAGAAGGGACCCCCTGTTTGACCAAAAAAATCGCAGGTTGCTGTGATAACCTCCCCCCACACGTGGTTAACCCAGGCTTTCCGTCTGCCTGCTTCAAAGACATGTCAGAGATCTGCGCACTACGGCACCACCAACTTGACCGGACCCTCCCTTGTGAGCAGCCTCAAGCTGGACACAGATGGCAGGCCACTGCTTGCAAACGGAAAGTCCACGACTTTGGCTGCGCAAGCTTTGGCCAGCGAAGCCGAAGACAAGACAGCGGTCACTGCTGAGTTACGGGTTCACTTGCACAAGGGCATTCCTCTACTTGTGGATGGGTATGGGAGCACAGACAGGTTAGTGATTCAAGTCAAACTTGGTGCAGAAGATCCAGTTTCTCCTTTGCTCTCGCCCGCCCCCTCTCGCTTAACCCCCGCTTCTGACACACGTTTACACACGCGCCCGCCTGTTGTGTTCAATGCGCGATCTTCCTCCAGATCCATATGCCTTATCCCACCCCACAGACAGCAGTTTGCATGTGCACCTTGGCGACACA